ACCCTCTCATTTTACAGATGAGGAAACTGAGGCCCAGAGAAATTAAGTGACTTGACTGTCTTTTGACTCTTTTTGTATCCCTAGTGCTTACATGCGGGGATGGGCCGGTGGGGGGGGATGCTCAATAAATACTTATTGAATTGAATTGAATTGCCCAAGGTAACTCAGCTAGAAAGTGTCTCAAGTCTTCCTGACTCCAGGTCCAGAGTTCTATCTACCACTTTACCATTCAATACTTATGAATGTAGTTAGGGAGTGACAAGCATTTATTAAGTACCTACTATGTGCCAGGCACTGTGCTAAGCATTTGAGGACATGAAGAAAGGGAAGACAATTCCCCTGCTCTTGAGATCACAGTCTAATATAGGTGAGGACAGACAGACAGACAGACAGACACAGAGAGAGAGAGTCAGATGTAGTTGGGGAGATGGGTCGGTTTATGTAGGTATGTACATATGTATAGGTGGAAGAATGTGATGTTATTCCTGTGCACGCATGTTCCAGTGCTTCAGTGTTACTGTAAATGCATGCATTTGGAGGACTGGTACGTGGATATGTGCACCTATATAGAAATAAGGGTCAATTGATACATGCATGCCACGTGCCAGTGCATGGATGTGTCTGTATACATATGTAGGCAGAGGATTTGTGCAGGTGGCTATGCTCCTGTGTGGGAGTAGGAGAGAGATGGCAGATGGCATGCAGGTAGGTATGCATATACCCAACGATAGACATGTCTGTATATGTATGCAGTTTGTACGTAGGTGTGTACGTGGGCTTGTAGGTGGGTGTGTATATAGGAATGAAAAGGAATAGGGGACAGCGTGAGTATGTGTTCTATCCGTGGCTCCTATCCCATGTTTCACCTTGATGCCCAGCCCTTACTGATGCATTTTCAGCGTGGTCTGCAAGACCCTAATTTGCCAGGAGAAATCCTCTCCCTTGCCACTTATACCCATTGAGAGGATTCAAGAGAAATAGTCTTGAAATCTCCTTAATAAAGTTTTCATGGGGCTCTCTGCCCTCTGGTAAGCAGCCTGTCTTCCCCTGGAAAGGAGCTCAGGTGGCCGCAGTCTTGGGAACCAAAAATTGGAACCCAGGGAAAAGAGGGCTATAGCCATAAGTACCTCAAGAGCAAGATATGATTTGGTGCTTATATAAATGTTTATGTAGAGCTCCAGTTTCCACGGTGGAACACGCCACCCTGTCAAGGAGGCTGCCAGGTGAACAGTCTTGTTAACAAAGCCAGAATTCCCCATTCTCCCTCCCCCTCCCTCCCCCTGCTTTTCTGTAGGGGCTGAGGAGGTGGGGTGGGGATGAAGGCAAAGACTGGGAGCCTCTGGTATGGCAGGAAGTGGCTTAGCGGCCTGGGATAGGAAGCAGGCAGGCTTTGTTCCGGAATAAGCCCATGTTAATATTCAAGCCTGTCCCTAAACAGGCCTGGATTCTGTAGGTCATTTAATCTTTTAATAATTGTGGCTTATAAAGCAGGAGTGCTGCCCACGGAGGCTGGCAGCACACACACACACGCACACACACACACACGCACACACACACACACACACACACACGCACACACATGCGCGCACACACACACGCACACACACACACGCGCACACACACGCACACACACACACACGCACACATACACGCACACACACACGCACACACACGCACACGCGCACACACACGCACACACACACGCGCACACACACACACACACACACACGCACACACACACACACCCCTCCCCAAACTCTGGCTGGCTCCCTTTCGAGCTGGAGCGCTGTGTGGTATACAGTTGAGCAGTTCAGCTGGCTCCTTTGGGAGAAGGGAGAGGGAAGGGTGCGGTGGTCAAAGTGGGGAGTGGTCCTGGCCTTCCTCTCCTGGTGGGGGAGGACTGTCTGCAACTCCTCTGGGCTCCCCTGATGTGAGAGATGCAAGATCAAAAGATCAGAAATTTAGAACTAGAAAGGACCTCTTCAGCTGGAGGCCACCCAATCCAATCCCCTCACTTTATGGAGAAGGAAACTGAGGCCCAAGGAGTTAAGGTGATTTGCCCAAGCTCACAGAATCATAGATTTAGACCTTAGAAGTCATCTAGGCTAACTGTTATTTTACAGATGAGGAAACTGAGGCCGAGAAAGGTAAGAGATATGCCTAAACTCATAGTATTATAGATTCAGAGCTGAAAGCAGCCTCAGAGGCCACCCAGCCTGACCGTCATTCTTTAGAGGAAGAAACTAGAAGTAAGAGTCACACAGCTAGTAAGTGTTTGAGACAGGATGTAAACCCAGGTCCTCTGACCCCAAGTCAAGTCTCCCTACCACACCTCTTTTGATGGGAAAGGAGAGAAACAAAGAGGCGATGATCTCACACTGCTGTGCCCTGCCTGGATGCTCTATTGTAAACACTTTGTGATCCTTAAAGCGCAATGTCAGTATTAGGTGTTACTGTTGTTATCATCACATCACAGTGTTGGGTCCAGTTCTGGAGATGAATTTTGGGAAGATGTCACTTCAAGAGTCTGGAGGGTGACCAGGTTGATAAAGAAGCCCAGGTTCTTGTTCTCTGTCTGTCTCTGTGTCTGTGTCTGTCTTCTGCCTGTCTGTCTCTCTCTTTCCCTGTCTTCTCTTTTTCTGTGGTCTCTCTCCTATTTCTCTGTTTCTCTCCCACTCCTCTCTCTCTCCCCTCTGTCTGTTTCTCTGTCTCCTCTCCCCTCTCTTTCTCTCTCTGTCTCTGTCTCTCTCTCTCTCTGTCTCTCTCCTTCCTTCCTCCCTCCTATGTCTTCTTTCCTCCTTCCTCCCTTCTTCCTCCTCTGTCTTCCCTCCTTCCTTCTTCCTTTTCTCTTCACCCTCCTCTCTCATTTTCCCTCTTCCTTCACTCTTCTATCACCTTTCTCTCTCCTTTCTTCTCTTCTTTCCTCTTTCTCTCCACCTCTTTTTTCTCTCCTCTCTCCTCTTCCCTCTTCCCTCTTCCCTTTCTTTTCTCTCTTCTCTCCCTTCTCTTGGCACACTCGACTCAACCCATTGATTTCAGTTTAATTAAGGCTTTGGTAAACACAGGAAATCCCTCTGGGCGAGCCTGGGTCAAGCTCTGCTGTAGCTGAGAATAAGTGGTGAATGGTCTGTGGTTGGCAATATCCATGCTGGAGGAGACTGAGCTCCTGGAAAACAGGAGGCCAAGACAGAGCCCTCCTTCTTAGGGCTCTCAGCTAGGGCCTGGCCTGGCAGTGTTCAGCTGGATGGCCCCTTGTATGAAGGAAAAGGCCAGTTGGTTAGGCAATCAACAATTCATCAAATATTTATTTTAAAAATAATTTTATGAGTAGATTTTGTCTTTATTCATCCTAAATCTTCCCCATATCGCTCTCTCTCTCTCCTTCTTCCTGGAGAGCCATCACTTATAAGAAAAAGAAATGTAAGAATGGAAAATAGAAAGAAGAAAAAAATCCAGCCTAGTGTTAAATACTTATTCTATACCTGGTATGTAAGGATAGGGAGTGAGTAGGGATCCATGATTTCACTGGTGTAGGATGCTCCCAGAAAAGGAAACTCCCTCTGCCAATGCAGGTTAGGGCCTCCTCTTCACCTTATAGCCCTAGAGAGTCCCTGGCATACAGGAGGTATGTAATAAATGCTTTTTGGATTGATTATTGTGCTAAGTTCTGACTGCCAAAGCTCCTGCCAGCTCTAAGAGTCTTTGCTTCTGCAAGACAGCTAGGTGACGAACTGGAAAGAGCAAAGAGTTTGGAGTCAGGGAGACTCGAGTTCAAATCCTGTCTCAGGCATGTACTAGTTCTGTGACCCTGGGCAAGTCACTGTACTGCTGTCTGCCTCAGTTTCCTCAACTATAAATGGGAATAAAACAGAACTTACCTCCTAGAGTTGTTGTAAAGAGCCAATGAGATAAAATATGTTTATATTTTTTTATGTTCACATGTTTAAAATACATAAAAACATGTATTTATAAATATGTTTATATGGTTTGCAAACCTTAAGACATGATTGTTAGCGATGATGGTAGTGGTGGTGGTGATATTTCTAAAATCCTATGACCTTCACCAACTGGGCCTAGTTGGACCCATCCCCAGGTCCTGGGGGCCTCAGCCCTCTCTCCCCTACAAGAGGAGGAAGGATAAATTCATAAGATTTAGACCTTGGAGGTCAAATACAACCCCCTATTGGACACAGGAGGCAATTCAAACTAGAAGTAGTGACTTTCCCAAGGTCTTGTAAGCAGAGAAGATTTACCTCTGCCCTGCCTCCTCCAAGGCTGGGAGTGGGGGTGAGGGGAAGGAGAACTGTGAGGGTCAAATGAGAACTCATATTTATTATTCACAACACCCCCCATGACGTAGGTAGCATCCCCATTTTATAGAAGAGGAAACTGAGGATCAGAGAAGCAATTTGCTCATGATTTAGGACCTGTCAGAACTCAGCTTCAAACTCGGTCTCTCTTGATTTCAGCTACCGCTCTTTCTCCCACCCCTCTCCCCCCCAGCCTCGACTCCACTGCCTCTCATGACTGCGTAGGCTCAGACTCTGCTGCTTCTTTGGGAAAGAGGGCTGCGTGCCCTGGCTAAGACCCCAGGCCTCTGAGCTGGGACCTCAGAGGTCATCTGATTCAGCTCCTTCTCAGACAAGAGAACATGCCTAGTAAGTGATTATCCAGCCTTTGTTTGAAGGTCTCTGATAGGGTAAGCCTCTACTAGAACATTCAACTTGGGTTCAAGAAGATCGGAGTTCAAATCCAGACACAGAAACTTACTGGCAGTGTGATCCTGGACAAGTCACTGCTTCCTCCTCTCTAAAAATAATTACAGCACCCACCTCCCACAGTTGTCATAAGGATCAAATGAGGTGTATAAATGAGGTTTATAAACTTTATGTATTATCACTATTAATGTTATTATCTTTCTCCTCTCTCTCTTTTCTTTCTCTCTCTCTCTTTTTCTCTCTCTCTACCTCTCTCCTTCCCTCGCTTTCTCTGTTTAACAGAGCAAAGCTGAAGAAGATGTGGAATCCGGGGAGGACTTGAGTGGCAGCAAGAGGAACAGTCGATTACTAATGAGTAGCTTCTCCAAACGAAAGGTCAGGATGGGACTCCAGGCCAGTCCCTGGGCTTTCGAGACAGGAGTCAGAATCATGAGCCAGAGATGTGCCCAAGCAAACCAATGAAATGCAACTGATAACCAACATTTCTCTAATACTTGACAGGGCATTCTTTCATTTGGGTACTAGATTGGGGGCCAGGTTCAAATGGCTGCTCTGCTTCCTACTGCCAACATGACTCTGGGCAGTCACATTGACCACTCTCTAGGTCTCAGTTTCCTCATCTTTAAAATGAGAGAATTGGACTAAATGACCCAAAAGGGTCCTTCTAGCTCTAAATTTATAATCCTTTAATCCTTCTATTAAAGGGAAGGGGTAGTATTACTATGAATTAATAATATTACTAATTTTATAACTGTACATAATTCGTACTGTACATATAATATAGCATATAATTTATATTTGTGTATTAAATGTTTTATCTATGTGTTTGTATATAATTAGATCTAAAGATAAAATTAGATTATTTATTGTTATTATTATGTCTGGTAAGAATGGCTGGCATTGAAATAGTGCTTTGAGGCTTACAAAACACCTTACAAAGACTCCTTTGCGTGATCCCCACAACAGCCCCCTCATAGCATCCCAGCTCTCTGGGGGCTTTGTTTTTGTCTTTATAGCCCCAGTGCCTGGCACAGACTAGGTGCTTAATAATTGCTCGCAACTTGATTGATACACTTGCCACTTCTGTCAGTCAATAAGCATATGGTGACCCTGGGCAAGTCACTTCACTCTGTTTGCCTCAGTTTCCTCATCTGTCAAATGAGTAGGAGAAGGAAATGACAAACCACCCCAGTATCTCTGCCAAGAAAAACCCAAGTGGGATCATAAAGAGTCGGACGCAACTGAAATGACTGAGCAACAAGAAAAAACTACTTTCATCATAATGACCCTATGAAATAGCTAATTGAAATATTATTACCTCCAATTAAGAGATGAGGAAACTGAGGCTCAGAGAGGTACCTGGCACAGAATAATAGCTTGATAAACCCTTAGTGACTGAAGTGGCAAGCACTTAACCATCAACCTGCAAACAGTAATTAAGTACCTATTTTGTGCCAGGTACTGTACTAGGCACCGGGAATCCAGAGACAAAAGCAAAGGCCTGAAGGGCCTTATATCCTATCGGGAAAACAATACCCATGTTACACAGTGTGAGTCAGAATTCACACCCAGGTCTCCTGATTCCAAGTCCTGGACTTTCTATCTGCTACATTATAAATGCCTCTCCTTGCCTACTCTCTCGTATTCTGGACATGTGAGCTATTGTTATTACAGTCTCCTTCTGGAAAAAGTAGAAGATGGATGAGGTCATGGTCAAACATCAGGAAGAATCTGTTTGTCTGGGCAGATTCCAAAGGCAGGGGCCGGGCTCCAGGCACTGGGCAGCAGCAGACAGCCTGGGCCAGGTGCTTTCTCCAGAAGCCCTCCTCCCTAGAGACCTTACATGCATCCCTCATCAGGTCTCAGGAGCAGGAGCTGGCCAGGAGTCTCCTACTAGCTGGACCCAAGGAACACTGCAGAGCCAAACAATGGGCAATAGACAAAAGTGAGAGTGGGGTAAAGGGGCTCACAGGCTGAGATGCAATGAGAGGAGGCAGGAGAGGACAGAGAGGGGACAAAAGCATCCTTCCTAGACTGAGGCCCTAAGATCCTTCCAAGGAGTGACTGAGGTGGGACAGGGCTTTCTTGGCCCATAGGGAATTCAGGAGTTTGTCTGCTGCCGGAGCCTCTTACCTCACTCACCTCTCCCTCACAGCTTCCTTCACATACCATCTCCTTTTGGGATCCCCTCCTTGTTTGTGCTCCCTGACTCCTCAAATCGTTGTGCATAGACTTCCCTGAGTACAGAGGCTGATAGATTGAGGGCTAGAAGGAAAGAGGGGAGTCCAATCCCTTCATTTTACAGATGAGGAAACTGAGTCCTAGAGAGGTGAAGTGATTCCCTTAAGGCTGCACATGTCATAAGTGGCAGAGCTGGGATGTGAACCCACAGCCTCTGTTAAATCGAGTGTTATTTTTGCTGCTGTGTAAATGCTGACTTTCTGTGGCTGGCTAATATCACATCTCTCTCCTCCCTATGCAGAAAAAAGGGAGCAAGTTAAAGAAAACTTCCAGCATAGAAGAAGCCGATGATGACTTGGACGCCCAAGGAAGCCAGAGCAGAGGGTCAGTTCCCTGGGGCAGGCACCTGGTGGTCAGAGATGGGAAGGGATGGGTAGAGAGTTCCAGCAGGGCATCTGGGGATAGCGTTCAGCATACAAGCACATCCCAGAGGTTCTCAGAGCTTAGATCCAGAGCTGGAAGGCACCTCAAAGGCCATCCAGACCCACTCCCCCATTTTACAGATGAGGAAATGGAGGTTTCAGCTAGTAAGTGTCTGAGGAAGGATTTGAACTCAGGTCTTCCTGATTCTAAGTCCATGACTCTAGCCACTGCGCATGACAGGTGTATCTGATAAGTTCTGGGAAGGTGGAGGTGACAGGTTGTACCTGTGTGAGCTGACCATGACGCTTTCTCCTCTGCCCTCACTTGGTTCATGTAGGATAAGCCGGCAGAAGAAGACCATGAAACTGTCCAGGGCTCTCTCTGACCTGGTGAAATACACCAAGTCTGTTGGAATCCATGACGTGGAGACAGAGAGTAAGTAGGGATAGCCCCCCCCCCCAGATCCCAGGGGGTGAGAGAAAGTGGGGAGGGAACTACAGGAGTAAGGGGAAGTGTAGGGGTGAAGAGAAGTGGAAAGGAGACAGGAAGGGAGCTACGGGGAGGAGGGTGAGGAGAGGAAGGGAGAGAGATGCAGATGGAGGCGTGGTTTCAAGGAACTGGGGAGGGATGTGCATATGGGATGCATTGCCTGCCTCATGGGGTCATGAGGCTTTTAAAAAACCTTGGGAACCTTACAGTGATGTATAACTGCATCCTTTAGGGTTGTCAGGGTCTAGTAGAGGGGCGATGGTTGTAGAGCCTTAGGCCCTGAGCTCAATTGCCCGTTAGGTTCCCTACTCTTTGTGCAACCTTGAAAATGTCATTCCCTATCCCTGGCCTTTAATCTCCTTCTCTCGATAATGAGAAAGTTAGACTAGATGACCTCTATTGAGCTAACATTTGTTAAGCACTTGTGTTCTGGGAGACAGTGAAAAGGAGCTTATAGTCTATTTGGAGGAGAAGAGAGGAAAAGAGAGGAGAGGGGATGGATGGATGAATGGACAGACAGATGGATGGATGGATAAGTAGGTGGATAGGTGGATAGATAGAAAGATATGCTTATGCAAAATAAATTCAAGGCAATTTGTGGAGGGGATATTGATAGCAGTTCATGAGAGGGACCTAAGAGGCTATCTCAGTAGTAATCACAGTGCCTGGCACATGGTAGGAGCTGGATAAATGTTTATTGATTGACTGTCAGATCTGGCCTACCCAGTTCATGAAAGCAATCCCCTCTGTAAGGTACTTGATAAGTGGTTTCCCAGCCACTGCTCAAAGACCTCCAGTGAGGGAGAGGCAGTCACCACCTCCAGAAGCAGCCTGTTCTATTTTGAGACAGCTTTCATTTGAGAGCTGAAATTGACCTCCATGCTGCTTGGGTCTGCCCCCTGAGGCCAAAGAAAAGGACCGGGATAGAAGGTGGTCCTTCAGCTAAGCTTTGAAGAGACCAAGAGATTCCAAAAAGTGCTGACTAGGATGGAGGGCACTCCTGGCATGGTGGGCAGGTAGGACCCAGGGACAGAGATGCCCAACCCTGAATCGGCCCCAATTTGGGAAAGCCAAACCTCTGTATTCAGAAGTGAGGCCACCTGGATGCCGAGAGCCCCACTTTCCTTCACTGAGGGATGAAGCCCCACTCGGTGGGATCTTCTCTTCAGAGGGTGGGGACAAGATTTTGCCTGATCCTTCGTTCCACTACGTGGTCATTACAATTGTGTGTTTCTGCCCCGGAGAGATTTTTCTTCTCTAATATCTGCCTGGAGTCCTGGCTTCTCCTGGGTTTAAGGGAGAAAGAAGGCAGTGGCTGAGACCAGCCTTGTCACCATGCAGCTGGAACATCCTCCAAGTGATCTCCAGATGACATGGCATATCTCCTCTTATGCACCAAGCCTTTTAAAACATTATCACTTTTTAAATTTAATTGAAATCCTTTTGAATCAAACTTGTTCATAAAATGTATCACATACTTTCATCATTTATTCTGAACAGAATCAAATGCTCACTCTATGGCTCAAGCTCATTATTACAAGAGCCAATTTGTATGAGGGGCTCTGAGGGAATCATCTATCTCTCTCCTTCCTCACTGGCAGATGGCTGGAAGGCTCTCATGTGATTTCCATTTACCCACATCCAGCAGCCTTTCCCCTTCTCTTAGGCTACTTCCAGTCTTAGGAGGACCAGGGAACAAGATGACCAGAGTGTGATTAGAATTGTTTGTAAACTAAAAGGTTGCAAGCGCCAAACAAATGTTTGCAACATTTCCTAAGGGTTTAAGTTTACAAATCACTTTTACTTTCATGTATTGTATAAATGTAATCTATACTCTATAATATTTATATAAATTATATATAAATAAATGTAACTAGCATAGTTAAAGCGTCCCATCTGACCTCATAATCTCTTTCCCCTGTACCCAGTTAGTCAAAAGTAACACCGCCTCCCTTCAGCTCTTACAGTTAACTATGTTTGTATCTCTCTTATCTGATTTTTTGTATCCATGTCCCAATTAGACTTTGTCCCTGGAAGGTAGTTACCGTAGCTATAGACTCATAGACTATCAAAGCTAGAAGGGATGATAGAAGGAAAGAAAAAAGCATTTATTATTCACCTACTGTGTTCCAGGCACTATGCTATGAGCACTTTACAAGTATTATCTTATGAGATCCTCCCTTGAGAAGTAGGTGCTCTCATGATCCCCATTTTATAGTTGAAGCAACTGAGGCAGACAGAGGTTATATGACTTGCCCACAGTCACACAGAGCTAGTAAGTATCTGAGACTAGATTTTTAACTCAGTTCTTCCTAACTCCAGGCTTGTGGACTATACTTGGCCACCTGCCTGCCTTAGGGACCATCTAGTCCGATCTTATTATTTTATTGATCCAAATGAGGCCCTGAGAGGTTAAGCAACCTACCTAAGGTCACAGAGCAAGTTAGTCTGTACTGTGTGATCCACATGACCTTTCACATAATATAATAATAATAATAATAATAATAATAATAATAATAATAATAATAATAATAGTAACAATTAATAACATAAATATAGCACTATGTGCCAGGCACTGTGCTAAGTACTTTGCAGCTGAGTTGGGTGTCAGGTGTGAATTCAACTGGATTAATTGTTGATTAATTAATTTGATTAATTTCTAATCCTAGTCTCCTGCAGTTGGCAAGTGTCATCCTTTAGTGAGACCAAGGCCCATCAGATTCTCCAACAGAAGCCGGCCCACTACCTGCGTTTCAACCAGCACCAGCTTTCCCGTATCTACCCATCCTCTTACCGGGTCGACTCAAGTAACTACAACCCCCAGCCCTTCTGGAACGCTGGATGTCAGATGGGTAAGTAAACAGAGGGGTCAGACCGGAGAAGCAGAAGCTCGGGGGAAGGATGCTCCAGACAGGGCAAGAGAGGGCTGAGAAAGAGTGCCTCTAAGACTCTCTGGGGCCAAAAATTGGACTTGGAGATGTCCAAGTATTTTTAGCACACATCTCCCCTGCTCAAAAGTCTGCAATGGCTCACTATCACCCACAGGATAAAGTCCAGGTTATTTAACCTGGAACTCAAGAGCCACATAATTCATTCATCCAAAAACACCTGTATGTATGTGCTAAGCCCTCTGTCTAGGTATCATAGAGGATACAGAGATGGGTAAAGCAGAGGGTCTGCCCTCTAAGAGCTTACAATCTGATAGGGGAGACAAGACCTCTGCTGGTGTACACTCTCCCTAGTGTAAAGCAGGGTGCAGTAAAGATGATCCAAATGATCTTGCCCTCCCCTCATTTCTTGCTTCTCTTCAATGCAATCCTCCCCTCCAGTTGGGCACATCTCTTTGATGTCTCCCATACTCTCCCATGTTCCTGGTGGAAAGAGAGCTGGAGGAACTAGGTCCATGTCTCACCTTTGCCACTTACTATCTATGTGACCTTGGACAGATCATATCACATTTCTGAGCCTCAATTTTCTCATCCATAAAATGGGGGAGTTGAACCAAATGATCTCTAATGATACTGCATCCTTGTACGTGTTCCCTTCCCATGCCTAGAATGCTTTCCCTCCTCATCCCCCATCCTTTGGAATACCTGGCTTCCTTCCAATAGTCATAATAACAACAATAATAAATACTAGTATTTACAGAGTTCTTTGAGGTATGTAAAGTGCTTTACAAATATCTAATTTGATCCTCTCAATAATCCCAGGAGTTTAGGTGCTATGATTATCTCATCTTATAGATGAGCAAACTGAGAAAGTTGTCCCCCAGTTAATAAGTGCCTGAGGCTGGATTTGAACTTCTGGCTACAAGTACCATGCTCTATCCACTAGGCACCTAGGGCAACTAGGTGGCGCAATGAATCCAGTGCCAGGCCTGGAGTCAGGAAGATTCATCTTCCCAAGTTCAAATTGGCCTCAGACACTTAGTAGCTGTGTGACCCTGAACAAGTCACTTAACCCTGTGTACCTCAGTTTCCTTATGTGTTAAAGGAGCTGGAGCAGGAAATGGAAAACCAGTGTCTCTACCAAGAAAACCCCAAATGGGGCCACAAAGAGTTGGACATGACTGAAAAATGACTGAATGCCTTTTCTTTGGTCCCAGGAGGCAGAGCTGGGAGCAAGGGGTGGCAGCTGCAAAGAGTGCCCTTCCCCACACCTGCCCACCCATCAAGGCCCTGGTGCCACCTCCTCTGTGAAGCCTTCCCTGACCACTCCTTCACCTATTTAAGATGTCTCTTTTCTCTAAACCTTTCCTTCAGTCCTGAGGTCTGTGGCACCCAAACAGCCCTGAATCACATGTAGCTTCAGGCCAATAGTGTGCGTTCATGTATTTTGTCTTCCTGACTAACCTATGAGCTGCCCATGGAGAGAGACCATGATCTGTAATTTCTCATCTCCTCCAAGGGGCCTAGCACTGTGCTAGGCACACAAGTGCTCACGCCTACACCCCAATTCATGATCTGCATTGCTGTTGTGTTAAAACAACCCAACTGGAATAAATCACGTAAAGAATCTTGGCAGGGAGATTTGGAGTCAAAGGACCTGAGTTCAAATCCAGCCTCAGACATTTACTAGCTGTGTGACCTTAGGTGAGACACTTAACCTCTCTCTGCCTCAGTTTCCTCAACTCTAAAATTGAAATAAAAATAGCACCTACCTCCCAAGGTTGTTGTGAGGATCAAATGAGATAAAACTTGTAAAGTACTTAGCACAGTGCCTGGCACACAGTAGGCACATAATAAATGCTTATTTCTCTCCTCTTGTTCTCTCGAATACCGGGTGCTCATATTTGTTAGTTCAATGAGTTTTACTGGCTTGGGATGGACTGGGTGGTTGTGGATGGGAGCAAAGGGCCCCCTAAGGGCTTACTGTCTCCCTGCCAGCTCTGGCTCCAGTCAGGGGATACTTGTCCTTTCTCTGCCCAGCTGGCTCAGGCTCAGAACTGACCTTGATCTCATGTTTTCCCCACAGTTGCCCTCAACTACCAGTCAGAGGGGAGGATGCTCCAGCTGAACCGAGCCAAGTTCAATGCCAATGGCAACTGTGGCTATGTCCTCAAGCCCCAGTGCATGTGTCAAGGTAAGAGGGAGCATCACTGGCTGGGTCCTGGCTGTGGAGAAGACTAGATCTTCTCATGATCAAGCTAAGAGGGCCTGCCCGGCCACTGAGTCTTACCCCCTTGCTTAACAGACATGGAGCCTCAAGGAGGTAAAGGAATTGCCCAAAGTTTCCTTGGATAGGAAATGCCAGGAGTGGAATCTGAATCTCTGACAGCAGGGTCAGAGATCTGTCTATTGTACCACACTGTCTCCTAAGAGTCTAAAAGTAGATACTGGGCATCTGCAAGTAGGAAAGGGAAAGGAGAGAACCATGGAAACATGGAGAGGCCATAGCATCTAGAAGGATGAAAAGGGGCAAGTGAATCACCCTCTATAAGCAGGTAGTTAGGGCTGGTATCAGGAAGGTCCTGGCTGGGAGGACTCGAACACATAACCAAAGGAGTCTGAGATCACTCTGTTCTTTGGACATTTGGAATTTGGTTCCATTCAACAGGCATTGATGAAATGCCTGCTGAGTGCCAGGCACTGGGGTTACAAAGCCACAAATTAAAGATGGCCTGCCCTCATGGGGTTTACATTCTATTGGAGGAGACAATACATGCAATATAAATAGATCTGGGTCACTTGAGTGAGCAAAAACTGGAGCCAGTAAGTCAACAAACATGTATTAAACACCTGCTATATACCAGACAATGTGCTAAGTGTTGGAGATACAAAAAGAGGAAAAGACAAGCCCTGTCCTCCAGGAGCTTACAATCTAATCTGAGTAATGACTGACGAAGACGCAACTGGGCGCTTTTGCCCCTGGAGCCATTTCGGTGGGGAAAGGGGCAGCTGCGGCAGTTGGGGCCCGTGTGCATTGCCTTCCTGCTGGGGAGCTATCTGCTAGCCCTTTGGCACGAGGAGATTGTTCTAAAAGGCCTAGGGCTGGGGGGTGGGGGGGGGGGTGGGGGTGGAAGGATTGATGCTCCAAGGACTGTGTGGTACATCTTGACCACATCTGTCTGCCCATGCACAGCCTCTGAACTGACTGTCTCCACTCTCATCCCCTCACCCTCCTTGCCTCAAGAAAATGACTTTATGGATTTTTTTAAAATTTTAAACCCCGTTTCTTCTCTTTCTGCCCCTACTTCCCCTCATGCTCAAGTTTTCAAATCCTTTATCTGCTCCTGTAGCTGCCACAGATAACAGGCTGGATGAAAGCGTTTGAAGGGGATACTACATTCACAACTGTCTCTGCTGAAGCCACTCAGCCTGGCCCTCCGTGAGCTGGTATCTGCCAGCCCCTGGCCTGGTACTCTGCTAATAGAATTCTGGAGGTTGTCATTCTTGCGGATGGGGTCAGGCTGGACCTGGTCTGCTTAGCTTCACTTCAACAAAGCCCCCTGTCCCTCAGGCAGCCTTGTTAGTCAGCCCCACAGCCTGTCTGACCAGCAGACTGTTCTCAGCATCCTGGGAATTTTAGACTGAGTGATGCACCTGAGGGGGTTACATTCATGGTATGGGCTTGGAACAGAGGCTAGTATGGAGAAACACCATGGTCATGGTGTAATAAGGCATATATGCTCGAGGTAAGATCTGTTCCTTTTGAGGGGATGGGAGTTTGTAGCCGTAGAATAATCGAATATTAAAAATAGTCAAGGGCAGCTAGGTGGTGCTAGAGAGCCAGCCCCAGAGTCAGGAGGAGCTGAGTTCAACTCTAGCGTCAGACACTTACTAGCAGTGTGACCCTGGGCAAGTCACTTCACCTGTTTGCCTCAGTTTCTTCATCTGTAAAATGAGCTGGAGAAGGAAATGGCAAACTACTCCAGTATCTCCGCCAAGAAGAGATGGGGTCAGGAAGAGTCGGATACAACTGATCAACTAAACAACAGCAAAGATAAGCAAAGCAGGTATAGGGGCAAAGGGGCTGGATTTGGAGTCAAGGAGACCTGAGTGTGACCTTTGCCCCTTAGGCATGTTGGCCATATGACAGTGGGCACATCACAGAAGCATCTCTCTGGACTTGGAAAAGACCCCAGAGGTCATCTAGCCTAACCTTCATTGCACAGATGAGGAAACTGAGGCCCCTGGAGGTCAGAGTAGAAAACTAGAACAACCACTTCATTTTACAAATGTGGAAACTGAGGCCCAGGTGATTCACCTAAAGTCACACAGGTGGTAATCATCTGAAGCTGGATTTGAACAAAGATCCTCTGACTCCACAATTGGCATTTTTTTTTCTAGGGGGCCTCATTGCCCTCACTAAAATTCTCTGGGTCTTGGTTTCCCCATTTATAAAACAGAGTTTGGGGCAGCTAGGTGGCGCAGTGGATAGAGCTCCGGCCTCAGAGTTCAAATCTGGACTCAGATGCTTGATATTCACTAGCTGTGTGACCCTGGGCAAGTCACTTAACCCCAATTGCCTCACCAAAAATTAAAAAAATAAAAATACATAAAACAGAATTAATAATATCTCTCACACTCATCTCATAGGGTGCTTATGAGGCTCAACGGAGATACTTGGATATAAAGCTCTTTGAATAGATTAGAGTGCTGCATAAATGGTCATTATTATCTGATCCAGCCCCCACATTTTACAAATGAGGAAACTGAGGCCCAGAGAAAGAGTGGAAATTGTGTAAGATCACAGAGTGTCAGGTCTCAAATGCAGGTCTCCAAACTCTGAATCCAGAGCATATCCCACCATACCACGCTATCTCTGGCTGGCCTGAAACACTCTCTCTCCCTCCTCACCTCTGCCTTTTGGCTTCCCTAGCCTCTTTCAAGACTTGGTTCAAATCCCACCTTCTGCAGGAAGCATTCCTAGTTCCCTCCCCACCTTGCCTCTCACTGAAACAGTGTGTGTCTCTTGTCAATACAGAATTACTTGCATGTTGTCTGCCTCATTAGAATGGGAGCTTCTGAGGGCAAAGACCATAGTTTTGATTTTATTTCTGCTCCCAGTTCTTAGCCCAGTGTCTGACTCAGAATCAGTACTTAAGAAAAGCTTGTTGACTGACTGATTGACTGAGCCTCCAGACACTCGGTCATATAGCCTGGTCTCCCAGTGAAGGGCAGAGATCCTTGCTCCCAATTTCCCCAGTGGAATCCATGGCCTAGAGATGGGACCCTCTGTGTTACATCTCCAGGTTCTGTGTTTTTCTAGGTGTCTTTAATCCCAACTCTGAAGATCCTCTCCCAGGGCAGCTGAAGAAACAGCTGATACTCCGGATTATCAGTGGACAGCAGCTCCCTAAACCACGGGACTCCATGTTGGGTGACCGAGGAGAGGTAGGTGGGAGTGCTGGACAAGGGGCTGGCCTCATCTTTGCAGGTGAGCTGACCAGTACCAACAGGCCTCAGAGGGCATTGGACAAGGATGGTGTGGGCCATTGGATAGAAACAGGAGACAAGCAGCCTGGTGTAATGGGCTGGGGTCAAAGAGATGTAGGAAGGAGGCTTGGACATCCTGAAATGATGGCAAAAGCAGGATGGACTGCTGGAAGTGTTCAGGCAGAGTCTACAAGACCACTTGATGGGTATCTTGTAGGGGAGAAACTCTCTTTCCAGTATGGGTTGGACTGCACAGCCTCTGAGATCCCTTCCAACTCTGTGATTCTGTGATTTCAAATCTCCTTCTTGCTACTAATATACTACGTGATCCTGACCAAGTATTTATGTTTCTTTGGTCTTCAGTTACCTCATCTGTTAAATGAGAGGATCTGTTAAATGGAGGATTTCCAACGGCCTTTCCAGCCACGATGGTGAAGATGATAGCCAGTATTTATAAGATTTGCAAAGCACTTTACAAGTATCTCCCAGCATCCCTGGGAAATGGGTGCTATGAGTATTTCTATTTTACATATGAGGAAACTGAGGCAGAGAGCAATTACATGACTTGCTCAGGATCACACAGCTAGTAAGCATCTACAGCTGAATTTGAATTCATCTTTCTGATTCCACACCCAGCCCTCTGTCCATTGGACCACCTAGGTGCCTGTATGACTCTAAGACATATTTATGAAACATAAGGATGTCTTGGGAGATAGGAGGCTGTACTAACTGACCTCCCAAGCTTCCCACCCACCCCCCATCCTCCTATTTGCCTTCCAGATCATCGACCCTTTTGTGGAAGTGGAGATCATCGGATTACCTGTGGACTGTAACAAGGAGCAGACCAGGGTTGTGGATGACAATGGTGAGCATCGTTTACCTTTACTCTCCCTGTGTCAACATGTGAAGCCAGAGCCCTGTACTGTCTGCTGTAGGAGAGAACTCCCAAAGAAGCAGAGACAACCCTCCCTAACCTTTAGAACTCACAGTTAAATTAGGAGAGCAGGGAGGGCGGGCATGACAGGGATGCCCACCTGCTTCCCTCTCTCTTCCCTCCTTTTCTGGTCATGGTGAGAACCAGAGGGACTCTGAAAGGCGGTTGCTTCCTTTTATGTTCTTAGTCTCAGGAGTGAGGTTGATGACTGCACAACTCTACCTCACTTAAATCCAATTCATGCACAAGTCAAGACCCTCCTGATGTCATTTGTCCTTTTTGAGAACGAAGGACGAACCACAGTCTTTGGGCTATGGAAAAGGGAGGTGATGATAACCAGAGTCATGGGGGTAACTGCAATGATTCTGGGCAAAGACTGTCATTCCTCATGCTGCGGTGGATTTTGGTGGACTCTTCATTACTTTTGGCATGCAACAGAACAAGATTAAAGTGAAATAAAGGGAATAATTTACAGTGATCCTGGAAAAGGGAGTTGAGTCAGAGATGAAGCCTGTTTTCTCCTCTGGGCTCAAGTCCACTTTGCCTTCCTCTGGCCTCTAGGCTTTAACCCCATGTGGGAGGAGACCCTGGTGTTTACAGTGCACATGCCGGAGATTGCACTGGTCCGGTTTCTGGTCTGGGATCATGACCCCATTGGACGGGACTTCATTGGACAGAGGACGTTGGCATTTAACAGCATGATGCCAGGTGAGTTCTCTGTTCCTAAGTCACTGGGTGATAGCCAATTCAATGAGCTCTAGCTATGGCACTGGCTAGATACTATGGATGAAAAGACAGGGTGGATAATGTTCCCTGGCCTCAAGAAGCTTCCATTCTAGCAAGGGGATACAAGGTATAAACAGGTAAATCCGTAAAGATGGAAAGCTCACTAACAGCTAGAGACATGCCAATATTCAGTGGACGGCTGTTGTGAGTGTTCCCTCCACCAAAGGTGTCAGTCATGTGACCCACAATGATCCCAAGTACAGCCCGAACCAGATGAAAATGTAATTGGGAAATGTTTAACAAAATAACAATAAAACATAGATGATGTTGCATTCTAAAACCAAATCAACACGTGGCATGCAGGGGTCCTTATGTACAGTTTAGTGGTCCTGTTTCTGTTTGAGCTGGACACCCCTGCCTTCCACTAATGCAGATTGCAACCCATCTATCTCTGCTTGTGCTATACTTGTCCACACCCTCCCATAAATTTGTGATGATGGCTCACGCAACATGCTGAGGGGCCTTCCTCAACTTCTTTTGACACTTTGAGGATAAAAGCTTCGTCATGGTAGCGGATGACCCTGGGATCTCAAAGTCTTTGTCAGTGGATTATAAGTTTTGCCAGGTGCTACCCCTGAGTATATTTCCAAGTCTGCTTTCCAAAGACTGGTCCAGCTCATCAGCTAGGGGGCTACGGTGAATAGAGTCCTATACAAAAACTGTACCCAGGAGAATGGAAGCTCCATCAGGGCGGAAGCTGTTCCATATAGGGGAGGGGGGTCCTTAGCACCTAACACAGTGCCTGGCCTGGAAATGGGTGCTTGTTACAGCCAGAAAGACCTCCCCCCCCCACCCCCTCTGTACTTCAGTGATCTTTGTTTTAGGTTATCGACATGTCTACCTGGAAGGGATGGAAGAGGCCTCCATCTTTGTTCACATAGCTATCAATGACATCTCCGGTAAGGTGAGTACCCTTAGCCACCATGGGGATCCCTTAGGAAAATCTTTCTTGTTGGGATCTGGGCTGTGACTGACCTGAAGATACCAGTCCTTCTTCCCAGGGAAGCCCACACGAGGTTGGGGGAGGGAGAGGACCTGCACTGCTAGACTCGGGTTCTTTCCTGGGATGCATGGTTTTCAAGTTGACAGGCCCCTCGGGTGAAGGTTGAGACAACAAGCTGCAACTGGTCAGAAGGTCAGTCAACAAGCATTTTTGAAGGTCTACCACATGCCAGTCACTGTGCCAAGCACTAGGGATGGATACAATGGAAGGCAAAAACAGTCCCTGCTGTTAAGGAGTCCATATTCCAGTGGGGCAGATAACGTGCAAATGATTGTGTACATATAAGATATTTGGGTAAAGGGAAAGTTTCTCCCCTTTGATACACAAAATGGAGCTGAAATGGTGTCACCTGGCCAGCTCAAGGACCCAATGAACCCTTTAGCTGTCCCAGAGGTAACCCATTTAAGAGGTATTCTCAGATTCCCAGTCCCCCCCCCTTCCTCAATGTGAGGAGGTAGAGTAGAACATTTGTCCTTCAAGGAGTTTAGACCCCAATTCCTCCCATGGCTTCTCTCCACTTCCTGATAGCCCATGAAGGGTTGGGGGCTGCCCACACCCTAGCTTTGGGGAGCTGGGCTAAAGCTACCAGGGCAGAAACTAGCCTGTACTTACAAACATCAGCCTCACCCTTTGTCTGCTCTCCACCTGAGGTTAGTAAGAAGGCAAATGCTCCCTCTGGGGCAGTGGGGTTCAGCCATGCCCCCTTATTGTCACTCTCTCAATAGAAGGCTCCCTTGGGTCCTCCCATTTTTAGCCCAGACCCTAAGTTAAGAAGAGTGAGAGAGATATCTGAGAGGTAGGAGAATCATCTCCTGCTGATTTCTCCAGCTCAGAGCCAGGTCAGAACATCTTAGGCAGAGAGATTCTCTTGAGGCTCCTTTTGTGTGAGATCTCTCACACTGGCCGACTTGTGTACTCTCAAGAGGGGAAGAGAGACTGTCCACATACTGGGAGTCAGATCTGGGCTGAAGTCCCTGACTCTGGCCCAGTGGCCAAATTCCTTCCCTCCTCTTTCCTCAGCTGTAAACTGAGAGGTTAGACCACCTCTAAGTTCCATCCCAGCTCTAACATTCTACGTTCAAGGCTCCCTCCAAGCTCTGACATTTATATCCTCAGTCAGTCAGTTAACAAGCTCGTATTCAGCACCTTCCGTGTGCCAGGCACTGTTTTAAGCTAAGTGCTAGTGATGTAAAAAAAAGGAAAAGCCACCTCTGCCTTCAAGAAGCACCCATCCTAATGGGAGAGACAGTATGCCAGTAATTCTGTACGTTCAAGATGCAAACAGGTAGGTCCCTCCCTACCGAGCATTGTCCAAAAGGCCCTTCTGAGAGCTGACATTCTATGTCCCAGGGTCCTAGCTGAATTCTACAATTCTGTGTTCTAAGGCTTCTCCCAGCTCTGTTGTTCTATGTTCTAACACTACAGAATTCTAGAGCCTGACGTCTGTATACAACAGAGAGCATTAGTTTCAGTGAAGGTGCACCTTACTAACAAGGTCAGGCTGTGTCTAGAGGTCAGAGTCTCTCCAGAGATTGTGTGGGAAATGTGGACAGGATGGACGTCAGGCCCCAGGGCTTTGGGGGGGATGAGAGTAGGTGACAGTTTGCCCTACTCAGCATCCCATTTACCTACAGTTTATGTGAGTGAGCTGTTACTAGACTCAGCAGCTCAGGCTTTAGAATGAGCAGTTTCTAACTTAGGGTAGTGTGTCCCTGAGGAATGTCCTGTCTCCTACCTCATTTCTTTGAGGTTTCTTATTGTCTCTCTCCCTCCCTTCTCCCTTCATTTCTCCCTTTCCTTGCCCATTCAGCTTTTCCTTTCTCTAGAACAGAAGGCCTATGGTCTCCTTGTCATAAGGCCTCCTCAGCGCTGCTTAGCTAAAGAGATCACAGCCCCTGGCCCAGATTAAGGGGTCCTGGTATCTCCATCAGATGGCTTCATCCCCTTTACCCAGGCAGGACACATGAGGACAAGCCCGCTGCCCTAGACAGCTCAGCACAGCTCATTAGCCACTCCCCAGTGGCCTGGAAGAGCACACAGTAGCACCCTGTGAATCGGGGAAGTTAAACAAGGGCTGGATGTCTTGTTGAAGACCGTTCTCTGGTCCCACGCACAGCAGATTCAGCACCTGACTCTGAGTCCCTGGGTGCCAGGCTAAAGGGATCTGATGGATTTGTCAGCTTTACTTCCTCTTGACCCAGTCAAGGCCTTCATCTTCCCTCCCCCATGGCCCTGACTTTCCCTTGCTCTCATCTTCCCTTTCTCTTCCCTTCCTTCCTTTTCCCTTCTTTGTTTTTCATTCCTTCTACCTTTTCTTCCCTTTCCCTTCCTCTACACTTCCTTCCTCTTTCTGCTCCTTTTCTCTATTTCCCCTTCCTTCCCCTTTCCTCCTTCCCTTCTTTCTTTCATGGCCCTGACCTTCCTTTCATCTCTCTTTCCTCCCCTTTCCCCCCATTCTTCTCTTGTTCCTTCTCCTTCCCTCAAAGCCTCAACCTACCTTCCCTCTCCCTTACTATCCCTTTTCCTTCCCTCTTTCTTCCCTTCCCTCAGGGCCCTGCTCTTCCCTTCTCTCCTTTCCTCTGCTTCCTTCCCCCGTAGTTCTAACAGCATCCATCTCCCCACCTCCTGCCCTGAAGCCCCTCTCTGCTTGCCCATCCCCTGACCTCACCTAGGGGAGGTCCCGACAGCCCCCTCCTCTTGCCTCGAGCCCCTCTGAAGTCTGTGTTGGGGACTGTTTTGATTTGCACGGGCAGAGTGGGGAGGAAAGAGGGGCCTTTGCAGCCATGTCTGGGAGATTGGACGGATGCTTCTCCTCCTCCCTCTCTTCCTGTGTGCTCTGTTTCTTAATTCTATGTCTGAGGCCCCTTGTTGCATTCCTCTGACCTCTCCACCTTCCCCCCTCCCAGCTCCTGAGCTGCTGTCTCAATTCCCCTGGGATCCCTTCCTCTCCCTCCCTCAGCTTCTCTCCTAGTCTGTATGCCTGTTGCTCCCTTTCTCCATCACAGCCTCAGAGAGATATGGTGAGAGTTGGGGGGAGAGGGGGCAATGGAGAAAAAAATTTCTAACAGCAGGAGATTAGAATTAAGGGGCAGTGAGTTTTAGATGGTACCTGGAGTCCCCAATGAGCCAGCACTCCCTACAACTCAGCCTTAGCCCCTCTCCAGCTCTCCAGCCCCCTGATCTGGTCTCTGGGCCTCTAGGGGTGGGTATGAGTTCCTAGAGACTCACCAGTCGCCAGGGTGAACTCTCTTGCTACCCTGTCTCCAGCAGTAATGGCCAGAACCATTGGGAGACCCACCTGGACAGCTGTGGGATGCCCTTCTAGGAGGGCTGCAGTTGGGCTGGGTCCAATTAGACTCAGAGTCTGAGGGAGCTGGGTTCAAATGATGGTTCTGATGACTATAAACAGGTCACTTGGTTTCTCAAGGACTCAGTTTCCACCTCCATAAGATGAGGGAGCTAGATGGGATGATCTCGAAGGTCCCTTTAGCTCTAAAGCCTAGGGTGCTCATCCTTTTCTTAAGATTACAGAGCTGGATTCATGGGTAGGACAGAATAGCCCCTGGTTGCTGGGCCTTGCCCCCACCCCTACCCTGGCCTCTCTCATTCCACTTCGCAAAGCTTCTTGCTTATGTTTGCCATGTCTTCTGCCTTCCTTCCCTGCCTTCTCCCCACCTGTGGTTTCTCTGTACTGTGGGGCTCTTTCCAGGTGTGATGACCAACTCCCCTTGTCCCCCCCAATGTTGTTGCTGTCTGATTTGCCTTTACTCTGTCTGTTTGGTATTACAGTGGGCTTCTCTGCGTCCAAAGTCTCCTTTTAGAAGCAGAGAATGGTTAGGAGCCTTGAAGGTACCCCCCGACCTGTCTCAGGAAGGTGTAGTGACCGCTGCCGCCGGCCGACCTGCATGCTCTCAGACTAGTCACCTCCCCTCTTCCTCCACCTCCTCATTGACATTTTTGAAACTCTTCAACTCATGGATTGTGACATTCCTCCTTGATATGGTGGGGCCATCTGGAGCCAGAAAACCCGCCATTTATGAAGCAGGTCCAGGATGGAAGGCACCGAGGGCTCAGCTTTTGCTCTTGTTCCCTCTCTGCTCATCCCTTCCTTCCCACTTTCCTCCCAACCCACTCCCTTCTCTTTCTTGCATCTCCTTTTCTTCTCTTGCTTCTCTCTTTCTTCTCCCGCTCATCCTTTTTACCCCTCCTCTCTCTTCCCCCTTACACCTTCCCTTTCTCCTCTCTTTTGTTCATAGCCTTTCTATCCCTCTTTATCTCTTATTCTTTCTCTTCTATTTCATGCCTTCTATTTCTCCTCTTGATCACTCTTCTTTCCTTTCTCTTTTCCTCCTCTCCCTCTGTCTCTCCTCTGATTCCTTTTTCTTCCTCTCCTTTGCCCTTCCACCTCTCTCTCTCTCTCTCACCTCTCCTCTTCCCTTTCCCCTCCCTCTTCCTCTCTCCTCCTTCTCCTTCCCTTCTTTTACCCCTCCCTCTCTCTTTCCCTCTCTGTCTCCCTCTTCTTCTCTTCTCCTCTCCCTTCTCTCCCCTTTTTCTCCTCTTTCCTCTCCTCCTCTTCTCTTTTCTTCACTTCACTTCTCCTCTCCTCTCCTCTTCTCTCCTCTCCTCTCCTCTTCTCTTCTCTTCTCTTCTCTTCTCTTCTCTTCTCTTCTCTTCTCTTCTCTTCTCTTCTCTTCTCTCTCTCTCTCTCTCTCTCTCTCTCTCTCTCTCTCTCACACACACACACACACACACACACACACACACACACACACACACACACACACTTTTTTCTCTCCTTTCTTCTTTCACAGAAAAAAGAAACCTTTCATTCAAATACTCTCCCTGGGTTCCCACAGTCCAGGTCATTCACCCTGATTGGCTCTTCCATTCAAACCAATGGTCATAAGCTCCTGGGGCCCCTTTCTCAAAGGCACCTCCCCTGACTGCCCTCTGCCTGGGGGTGGAGGGTGGAGGTGGAGTGTTTCTGCCAAGTTCAAAGCTAACATTCTGGATCTTCTTCTAAATGACTTTCCTGTGACCTTTCACCAAATTTGCACTGGATTTGGGATCTTGAATCAGCCAGCTGATTCAAGCACGATGGCTCCTTGCTCTCCTTGCCTCCAGGATGCCCTCCCTGGGAGCTAGCTCTCCCATGGGCCCTGGCCACACACACCATCCCATCCTTGGGGCAGGGTGGGAGGGTGGGGGGATTGTTAATGTTTTTGTCTGTGATGGGAGTTTGCGCGTGTGATTGTGTGCGTGTGTTTACTCTCTGAACCTCTTCTATCTGAACTCTGCAAGCATTTGCTAAGGATGCTGGTTACTCTCATCTCCCAGCAGTAACTCTGGGTACTTGCCAACCTCTCTGGATTGTCTCCAAGCTGATGCTGCCCACTAGGCTTTTGATCCCTCCAATTTGTGTCCAGAGCACCAGCTTTTCTGGGCTAGGTGGCAGAGGGTCCTGGCTGATGGCTGCAGTGAGCCACCTATACCTGGGTCTAAGGCTTCCAGGCCTGGCAGGGGGAGGAAAGGAGAAAAGATGGACGGAGCTGGAGCCATGGGTGGAAGGTTTGGCTCTCCTAGGGTATCCATGGATGAAGCCTTCCGCACACCTTCCCCACCACATACATGGGACAGCTCCCTATTGGCAGCTAGGACTCAGTCAATCCTAAAGCCAAAAGTCAGAGGTGACCAAGAAGCCATCTGGTCCAGCCCCTCTCCCTAGGAAAAGTATCCCCTAGACATTTTTCCAGACTGAGCTCAGCACTCTGAGAATCCCAGCTTAGCTCTAGGAATTCAAGGCTACAAACATTCATATGAAAGGAGGGGGAAGAACCTTGGATGAAGCATTAGGAAATCTTTCTCATCCTAGGTCAACCACAACTTAGCTCCCCGTGTGGCCTTCTTGGGACCTCCTTATACCTATCTATAAAAGGGGGAGGGCAGAGGACTCTATGCCCCTTCGGGTCCCTTCTAGCCTCAACCTTCCATGCATCTCTAAGTATGGATGATGCCACCTTCAGCCCCTGGATTACAACCCAACTCTGGAGTTTGCCACTTGTCTATGACCTTGGACAAGTCCCTTCCTATCTCCAGACCTTCAGCTCCTAGTCCTCTAGAAAACAAATGGGGTAAGACTGAATGGTCTGACTCTGATGATCCTAATAAACTGAATTTGACATGCTGGGGCCAGTTGAGTACAGTGGGATCTGTAGACAGACCTAAGAGGAGTCATCTCCCACTTCCTCCATCCTTCTCTGGGACCTTCCCCCTTGCTCCCCCCCCCAAAAAAAATAACAAAAACAAAAACTGTTCAAAACAAACAAAAATCTTCAGCAACCCAACCTGTTTCACTTGCAATATAGGGCTGGCAAGTACACATGGAATGTTTTTAGGAATGCTGAAGTTCTGTACGTCTATTCGGGGGTTGTCCACAGTTTGAACACGCGACTGTGGTGTTTTTCTCTTTCTCCAAACCACAAGCTCAGCCCCACTTTGATGAAGCCCTGTAGCACATGGTCTGGGTCTGACCAGAGAAGCTTGCTTGTTTTCTATGGGTTGGCAACAGGGTGTAGCAGAGGGGGACAGGCAAGATGCAAGGTCATGCCACTGACCTATGTGGTCTCAGCCCTTCTCCCCTTTGCCCCTCTTCTGCTGGGACCCATGCTCCTGATGAATTTCAATGACACTGGAAAAATTCAGTCCATGCTTACCTCTTGCTATGACCCCATAGCCACCCTAGGATCCCCTCCAGAGTGCATGTGGCCTGGGGTGAACCCAGAGTGAAAAGGTGAGGAGTAAAATCTGTAGGCATTCCTCTAGAATGAGGAGAAGGGTAAGGAGGAGGGCACCATAGTCTGAGCCCCATGCAGGGCCTTTTGCTGGCCACATGATCCCCCGGGTTGGTTCTCCAACCCTGGCTGGGGCCTCCTCATAAAGAGGAGTCCTTTGCCCACCCTGATGGTAGACAGAGGGACCACCCTGTAGCCCCCAACCACCTCGCTTCTGCTGCTCCCTCTGCTAGATATTCATAGACTCTATCCTGGAGAGATGTTTGCCCATCCCTAGCAAGGGAATTGTGCCTATGGGTGGGTCTATATTCCTAGACCACGGGATAGGGGAGTATGGTTCAGGTTGAGGGTGTCTTAAAGCTTCCTCTGCCTGACTATCCTGTCTCCCTAGTTCCAGACTTTGTGGGAGCAGGCGAGGTAGACAGATTCAACCTTTGTGCCCCTTCCACATTCTCCTGAGTTTCAGGAGAGTGAGCACTGTAGAACATCCCTCCTGTCCTCCCAGCTACAATTTGTCTGCTTCAAATTGACCTCCCATCTCCTCCCCCAGCACTCAGCCAAAGTAGATCCTGCTGAACTTATGGCTTCTGGCAGGGCTCCAAATGGGGTGCAGCCTCTGGCCCCAATTGGGGGCTGGAGAATCTCCTCCCTTCTCCTTCCCTCCTTGTCCCCTACAGAAGAGGGATGGATATGGGAGGATGGGGAGGGGCCCAGTGGCAGCTGCATATTATGTGAGGCTCTCTCTCTTGCAGGTGAAGCAGGCTTTGGGCTTAAAAGGCCTGTTTCTCAGAAATCCAAAGCAGGCGTCCCTGGACAGTCATGCTGCTGGTCAGTTCCACAACAGACCCTCCATTAGTGGCCAGCTCCTGAGGCGCACGGCTAGCGCGCCCACCAAGAGCCAGAAGAAGGGTAAAAAGGGCTTTCCTGAACTCACCACGGACACCAAAGACAGTGGCTCAGAGGGGGCAGGCGAGGACACCTCCCAGCCCCGCTTTGACTCGGAGCCAGAGAGTGCGGCCCCAGCCCCCGGAGCCCTTGGTGAGGGGCCAGGCCGAGGGCCAAAAGGTAAGGCCCAGGGTCCCGGGACAGGGAGAAGCCAGAGCCAAACAGCTGAGGGCTCGACCTTGAGCGAGCCCACGCGAAGGTCAGAGAGGTTCCAAAGCCTGGGCCTTGGCTCCCCAGGTGAGAGGCCAGGTACCCCAGAGGGGTCTGGGCCTGCCGGGATGGCAGCAAGCTGCATGAAATGCATGATTGGCTCCTGTGAGGGGCCCGAGGTCGAGGGTCAATGGAGCAGCTGCCAGCCCTGCCCGGGGCCTGCCATCAGGGAGGCCCCCCAGCCTGAGCAGTGCAGCGGGGGGCTCGGAGGCGTTGGGAGGCTGGGCCTCAGACACTGGGGGATCAGCGAGCAGCCCCAAGCCCGGCCGGACTCTCTCACCCCTGGGCCCAGGGGTGGCATCTACAGCAACAGCAACAGCAACAGCAGCAGCGGCCGTGGCGCTGCCCAAGCCCCCCTGGACAGTGACCAGCCCCTGGGCTGGGGAAGGAAGAGCAAAAACTTGTCCAAATGCCGTGGGGCCAAGGGCCCTTCTCAGCCCAGGTGGCCAGGAGGGAAATATGGGAGTGTTGTGAGCCTAGTTACTGCCGCCAGTGGCTCCACATCCTCTGACTCCAGCAGCCTAGAGAGTCTGAGGGGTCCTGAAAATCCCCTCAGGCCCGTGGGCACCTTGCAGAGGGAAATCAATGCTTTGTTTGTGCAAAAATTGGAGGAGATTCGGAGTAAATCCTCCCTAATCTTCACTGGTAAGACTAGATGTTCTTCCCCCTTGCTGGTCCCTTCGGAGCACTCCCTTCCCCACTGTGTCCGTCTCCATTGTTCCCCCTACCCGCTTTGGCATGGCCTGTGGTCTAGTGTAGATGTTCCGGGTGTAGCTTCTTCGGGAGTTGGGGGGCACCTTTTCTTTTTCAGTGTGTTTCTGTACCAAGTTTGTTTTGGTTTTGCTTCGGTTAGGCTCCCTACCTCTGTCCCTGGTCTTTAGTCCTTCCCATGAGCCATTCTGCTCTCCACCACCCATGAGGTCATTGTCATCCTTCTGTGGAAACCCATGTAGAATAGCTTTAATGTTAGATTGACCAACCAGAGCCTGAGATTGGGGCAAGACTGTCAAGAGGCTTCATCCTCAAGGCCCTCCCTTGATAGCTGTATCCTTGGGGGCCTTTCCTTCAGGATTCTATCCTTAGAAGACTTCCCTTCAAGGCTCCATCCTCAGATCTTCCCTTCAGAGCTCCATCTCTCTTCCTCCTTGGGACTCTCCCTTCAAGGTCCCATCCTCTTCCTTTCAAGGCTACAACCTTGGGGTCCTCCCTTCAGGGCTCCATCCTCAGGATGCCCCCTTCAGAGTTCCATCTCTCTCCCTTCCAAGCTCCCTTCTCAGGACCCTCCTTCAAAGGGACCCTTCAAAGTCCCATCTTCTTCCCTTCAGGGCTCCATGCTTGAAGCCATCCCATCCCTCCCCTTTAGGGCTCCATCCTCCTTTCTTTGGGGCTCCATCCTCAAAGACTTTCTTTCTACTTTCTTGAAAGGTCAGGCCCCAAGGGAAATCCAGAATAATTGAAATTTGTGAATGAAGCTCTCCTCTGGGTCACTGACCCACAACTCTAGGCAGAGGGCAAACTCTCTTTATTAACCAAGGTTGTCAAACTGAAGAGGTTTAATAGAATAAGACATCTGCTCTTTGGGCTTGGATTTTCACAGTCCATGACACTGAGTGCAACAGCTTGAATGAACCTCATTTTCTCTCACTCTCAGGGTCCTGGACTTAGTGATTGGAGCAGCCTGTGCCACCCACAGAGTTCTTAGAATTTAAAAAAAAAATTCTGCATTGAAATGGAAAAAAAAACCCAAAACATAAGGATATGTTTGCTCTGCAGACATGCAGTTTTCGAAAGCAGCATGAACTCTTTGCTTAAATCTGCTAAGGAAGAAAAAAATTGTTATCACCTTAGAAAGTAGTGGTCTAGTTCAACCTCCCACCCAGTACAGGAATCCTCTCTACCATGTCCCTGCTTGTGTGACTTTGGGAAAGACACATCTCTCCAAGCCTGGTTTTCCCCATTTGTAAGATGAAGGATGGCAATACTGCTAATACCTGTTGCATGGTCACATTGTGAGAACATTTTGTAGCCTTGTTTTGCTGTAGAACTGTGACTGATTTCATGATCCAATTGGTCTACCCTTCTAGTGATGTGTTTCAGCTCACTCCCCATGAGGCTACCTATGTGGAGTTCAGAGAGCTCGGATTGGTAGAAATGTCTTTCCTGCATGTACAGAAATATGCCTCCCTCTATCTTCTCCACATTCTTTTTAATTCTTCCCTCCGGGGCCAAGCAGACTGAATCTAATTCCTCTTGTGTATGATGCTTCTTCAGCTATATGAAGAGCACTGTTCTGTTCTCACCCCCTCTGCACCTTCCCCCGGCATGTGTATTCCTCTCATGCTGATTGTAACCCTGCATTGGAATCGTCATGGAAGTGGAGACCCACTCCCAAAATTCCATCAGCCGCTGACATCATGGAACTGGGGCCTTTTAGGATTGCTCACAAAGGAATGTGGGATAGAAGAAATAAGGAGGAAGCTGGGTCAAGGGGTGGAGAGTTGGAGTCGTCTCACCTTCTTCCCCAGACTCCTTGAGAACGGTCCCAGACACCTTCTCCCCAGTTCCACTCCTGGTTCCTTCAACTTTTACTCAACTATAGCATGTATTTATTTTAGGGCCCCCCCAATCCTGCTCCTCACCTTATCGTTTCCTCTTGGGCTTTATCATATTCCTAGTTCTTGGCCTTCTTTTTCCCTTGTGGGCTGCTATCTGGGGCTGCAGAGGGTAGAAGGGACCACAAGTTTCTATCATATGGAGACGATGGTGTAAAAGGAGCATTCAAGATAATAAAACTTCCCTTGATGATCTGGAGGCAAAGAACCTACATCCCACTGAGGAAAAAAAAAAAGTACTGAGTTCCCCCTCTCTCAGCCTCACCTGCAGAACCAGCATCACTTATAGCCCACCCAGCACTGCTTCCTTTAATCCAGTCGGATGGGGAGATTTCCCAACTTCCTCCTACCACAGTCCTTCCCTGATTGAGAGCAAGGGGCGGGAAGTCAGGCCTCTCCGAATTCTCTAGGCTGCCCAGAGTACCTTCTCGAGTCAACTTGGAAAGTGATGAACTGACCAAAGCCAGGGCTCCTGCTATTTGCACCCCAAGTTTGCTGGATGTGGGTGCCCCAGAAGCTCTAGGGGGCCCGTGCCATTACATCTAATTGGTCCTTTGGCAGTTTCATGTACTAAGCACTATAGGGAGCATTTATTATACTTAATAAAAAAAAACAAAACAAAACAGAAAATAAAGCCCCCATCTATTACTCATCAGTGCTCTGGTTGGGCAAACTTTTCCATCTACAGGGAGGACTTTTATAAAATCCCTCACTGTACTTCCTGGTTCCCTTCCTCCCTGTCTTGCCTCATGTCCCACTTCTGTCTCACCCTCCCAACTAATTATGGTTTCTCCTGTCCACATGCATACTCTACCTCTGTAGTTAAGAATTGAAAGGACAGAGAGATTTCAAGGTAACTCACCCAGACTCCTCCCCACTGCCCTGCCTCATGTTTCCTCCCCCACTTACCCCAGCAGTCCTGGACCCCAGTCCCCGTTGTCATGTCTGACCACAGTGTCTCAGTGTGCCCTGAGCATGCTGGCCAGATGGGCTTGGTAATAGGGCTGTGGTGGTTTCCAAATCCCCAAACTGGAAGGTTTTGTGTTCAGCATGAAATTATCTCTCAGCATGCTTGAAGTGTGTGTGTGTGTGTGTGTGTGTGTGTGTGTGTGTGTGTGTGTGTGTTCGTGCGTACACACACACCCTTGGCTGGAGGGGATGAGGGAGGATTTGGGGAGGCAATGCAAGATTTAGAGGGTGGATACCCCTGTGCGTTGGCTCTAGTCCCTCAAACCCACCCCCACCCCCATCCAGACTTCCCCAGAGCTCTGTGCCTGGTCCCCCACCCCCACCCCTTATGGTGGGGCTCTCGGAGGGCTGGGCCCTGGGCGGTGTTCACGTCTTTCACTCACCCACTGCCTGGCTTGACGCTGCCCTTCTCTCTCCAGATGGCCGCCCGTTCTCCATCCAGAGATCTGTCTCGTCTTTGTACGGCCTCGAAACCATCGCGGAGGAGCCGCTCGTTGCCAAGGAAACGCCATCCCCCGCTCCCTGCCCCCCTCTGCCCCCCGCCCCCATCAGCTACTCCGAGGGAGGGTCCCACTTCTCCGCAGGCTCAGGCTCTGACACCCCTCTGAGCTCTCCCTCCCCAGGTGAGCCAGGTGGACTGACCGCTCCAGGGCCACACCGCGCTGAAGGAAGTTCAGAGGGGGAACGGCAGACGGAGGACAGAGAACAGGAGTCCCAGGGGGCACTGCCCACGCCCCCGGCAGGGCAGGGCTCCCTGCTGCACCCCTCCCCCTCCCACTGTGAAGAGGAACCGGATGGGGCAGCCTGGAGGGCAGAGCACACAGGCGACCCGCAGGGTCCCCGCCGGCCTGTGGGTTCCGTCCCTCTGCGAATCCCTCCGGCCCCAGCTCGGGCCCTGGCCGGCCCGCCGGCTGTGGTGAGGAGGGCCAAGAGCGAAGGGCAGGTGACCTTTGACCACCTAGTGGTCCGGCGTGCCCCGCCCGGACAGTCCCCTGCTGCAGCCGTCTATTCAGATGCCACGGGCAGCGACCAGCTGTGGAGCAAGTTGGAGCCAGGCAGTCAGCGGGACAGCATGTCCTCTTCCTCCAGCATGTCCTCCAACGACACGGTCATCGACCTTTCGATGCCCAACCTGGTGAGGAAAAGCCTGCCCAACCTGGGCTGTCTCACAGGCAGCCGGGAGAAGCTGGCGGGGCTAGCAGTGCACAAGGGCCCCTGGCCCCGCTCAGCTGCCTCTGGCGGGGCCCAGCTGCCCCCCGTGACCAAGAGCAAGTCTAACCCCAACCTGAGGGCGGGGGTGGCCCCACCGCCAGCCCCGGATGAGCTGCAGCCCCGGCCCCTGGCCCGGAGGCCGGAGGATGCTCTGGCCTCCCTCCGCCGGAGGCCCACGTGGAGCAGGCTGTACATGGAGGGCCTCCGGGCAGAGGGGTCCTCCCTGGGGCCCCGAGCTCAGGACATGGGGGCCGCTGCCAAGTCCAAGAGCCTGGGCGACCTCACATCGGACGACTTTGCCCCCGGCTTCGAGAGTACTTACAGGAGCATCAGCCGCAGCTTTGGCCCCCGTCCACCTCCTGCCGCTGGGGCAGGGAGATCTCTGGGACCCAGGCTGCAGGCCAGGCCTCGGGATGAGCTGACCGAGCAGCTGAGGAGACTGACCGGCTTCCAGCTGGCCGGCGACATCACATCCCCCACCAGCCTGGGGCCTGCAGAGGACGAGGACGAGGACGAGACCGGGCCGGCCACAGTGGGCCAGGGGCTGGGCTTCCTACGTAGATCTTCCTCTCGGAGCCAGAGCAGAGTGCGCTACATTGCCACCCGGGCCAGGCAGGCCCAGGAGAGGCAGAGGCTCCAGGGTCTGGGGGTCCAGGGTCCCCTGGAAGAACGGGGCAATCCAGAGGGGGCCTGCTCTGTGAGCCGGGAGGGGTGTGTGGACTCTCTGGCTCTTCTGATTCCCCCTTCCAAGTTCACCCCGGGCCTCATCGAGGATTCGGACTCGGGCCCTGTTCTTTTGAAACTCTAAATCCGAGCAGGACGGGGGGAGGAGAAAGCCCAGTCAGGGAAAGGCTTTCGGGGTTTGGGCTGCAAAGACTGAGAAGTGTTGTTACTCCCATGTGTCCACCCGCTAAGGTTCTGGCTCCCCATCACTCGCCCCTCCTCTGGGCTCAGGCTGGGCCGAGTGGTGAGGCAGGTCCAGAATTGGCCACTCTTGCATTGCCTGGGCCTGGCCTTCTCTGTCCCTGGCTCTTCCCACCCACCTTTCTCCATCCAGTGTCCCCGACACCCAGGCCACGGCCGCTGGGTGAGATCCCGCACGCTAGCACCTCCCCCTTCCTGAACCTGGGCTGGCCTTGAGCCTCAGTCCACACTACCCCACCCCCAGCATCTGTCAGCTCCGCAGAGCTCTGAGGTGCTCACTCCGCAGCCAAGGCAGGAGGGAGGAGGACACGGAGCTCTTGGCCTCTGCCGCTGCCCTGCTGCTCAAATGTGGGGAGGGTTTGGGCTGGGGGGATGGCTCCCCACAATGCTGCTGTACATAGCGCATGGAGCAGAAGCTCTCGGGCCTCTCCATGTTTGCACTGCCGTGCCAGGGTTTTCATGTGTTTTAAATGAGATTATATACATATATATATATATATATATATTTTTAGACACACATATAGAACATGAGAAACTACCCAAAATTATCCTTCTCCAAACCCATTTTTACCTTTGTTTTTAGCCTGTGTATGTACTTACACAAACATGTGTGTGCGTGCATGTGTGTGTGTGTGTGTGCGTGTGTGTGTGTGCGTGTGTGTGTGTGTGTGTGTGTGTGTGTGTGTGTGTGTGTGTGTTCAGGACAGGTGAGACACCATGAAGATCCTAGCCCTTCCTGGTGGGAAGAATGTTGACCACAGTGGTTTCCACGGTGACCCCAGTCCCAGGAGAGGGCACTTTCCCCTGGGACCCTGGGCCACCTCCCCCCACTTTTTACCCATCTTGTTTTATTTGTATAAGAATTTTCTCTGTACATTGAAACATTTTAAAAACCTATTTGTAAGTTCTTCCACGACTCCAATAAAATGCATCAAACCTTTTGGTTCCTGACTTCTTTTGATGGTAGCTGGCTATGGACTCTGGCCCGTTTGGGGGACTTTGAGTCAATTCACTGCTCTCCCAACATCTGAGCTGGGTTAAGTTTGGGAGCCCTCCCTGGACAAGGTGGGTTTGGCACTCCCCTCTGGACTGGCTTTGGTGGGGGGGAAGGGATTCCTCTCTGGGTTGAGCTGAGTTTGAGATTCCTGTCTAGTCTGGGTTGGGTTAGGGGGTCTTCTCAGGGCGAGGTTGGGTTGAAGACTCATCTCTGGGCTCTGGGCTACATTTGAGACTCCCTTGTGCTGGGATGGACTGAGTTTGAAACCAAGCATTGGGCTTTGGTCATGAATGGAGTGAGAGTGAGAGTGTCTGAGCTCAGGGTTTTGGGTTCAATAGTAACCAGATCTATATCCAGGGAAAGATGACCAGAACTGTCCCAGGGCTCCAGATTTAAAGGCTGTTCATAGAACTTGATGTCATTCGGCAGCCTGAAAACAAGAGCTAACCTAATTAGGAAGAAAAATTACTTAAAATAGGAAACGTCCAGATGCTTCCTCATAGTAGAGGTACATACACAAGGTGGGGTGCTCCTCAGTCAGGACCATGCCCTGCACCATCCTCCTAGCTGTGGCTTCCTAGCATTCTGGGGTCTCCTTCCTCCAAACTGGATTTCTCTTCATAGGTTGGGCTGGGGGCTCATTTCACACCTCCTGCCCTGGGTACTGTTGGCAGTGATTACCCCAGGATCCAAACGGCTGGGCTCTGCTCTGGCTTCAGGCTCAAGGCTAGACTGGGACATGTTGGACTCCAGATTCAGTGTGCTGAGCTGAACTGGATCTGGGACTCGGGCACTGGGCTCTGGGTACGAGGCTAGGCAGAGAGGCCGGATGGATTATTGGCTTCGGGGGAGAAAAAGAGAGGAATGAACCAACGAACATTTAGTAAGTGCCTAAGTACTAGGCACTGCACTTCGTCTACAAGGACAAAAATTATAGTCCCTACCCCAAGGAATTTGCATTTTACATTATAAATCATCATCTATCCTCTGCTCAAAGGCCTCAAATGGGGGTGGGGGTGGGAAGAAACTCAAGCACTTTCTAGGTGCAGCCCAATCCACTCATTTTTAGGAAGTTTTCTCTGACCCTTGCCTCAGTTTGCTTCTTCATGCCTAGTACCGATTCACCTAATTCTGTCCTCTGGAGTGGGGGGAGTGTGTCCAGCAGAACAGGACAGGTGAACTCCCTTCTGACCACATCACAGCTCTTCAAATATTTAGCTGTCCTGTGTTTTATTTGGGGTTTACTTGCCTGTTTAAACGCTGTTTCTCTTCAGTAGAAAATCAGCTCTTTGAGAACAGGGAGTTCCCATATTTTTAGGTTTTGTATTCCCAGACATAAGCAAAGTGCCTGCCTGGCCCACGAAGCACAGGCTGGATAAATGCTCTGAACTGAGCTTGACTGAATTGTCCGAAGGCCTGAGGCTCCAGGGACGTGTCAGCAGCAGGCCTGGATTCTGAGCCTGTCTCTGTCAATAATTCCCTGTGTGGCTTTAGGCAGGTCCACTCTGGGCTTCCTTTTCCTTTTCAAGAAGGGCCTGGGACTGCATGGCCTCTTGGGGCTCTTCTTACTGGCCTGTGGATGATGTTGGTGGGAGGTGGTTTGGAAAGACCCTGGAAGCCCCACCCCCTTCACCCCCTTGGGTCCCAAAGAGCCCCAGGCCTCGGAGTCACCAAATCCAGGTTCCAGTCCTGGCTCTGTTTCAGGCCTGTTGTGTGATCTTAAATAGCTAAGCTCCTACCTCGATGAGCCCATCCATCTTCTGTACAAGGGGGTTGATGTCGGTACCTGGGACTGTCTCCCTCACAGCTGGTGTTCTGAACCTCAAAGGAGATGAGGGAAGTGATCTGTAAGCTTTCTGGGGGGGGGGGTGAGGATGGTGGGGCAAGGCCACCTCCACAGGACTTAAGGAAAGCAGGGATCAGGGCAATGCCGAGTCGGGGAAGCCCATGCCCAGGTGTGTCCACTAGGGCCTCAGTGCTCGGAAGTCAAAAGGAAGAGCGGGAGCCCAGACTCAGAGATGGAAGGGAGCTGTGCAGCCATGTCCAGAGACCCCACAAACCCCCTGAGCCATCTCCCCAGTACCTCCAAGGAGGGAGCATTCACTGCCTCTGGGCTGGCCATTCCATCTGGGGACAGCACCATGTGTCAGGACCTCGAGCTCGAATCTGTCCCTCTCCTTCTCTTCCTTCCCAGCCCATCCCTCCTTCTGTTCAGTTCAGCTCTCTGAGGCAAGGCCACAAGGCCCGTCCATCCCATGGCCGCCCTGCAGATTCCCAAGCACAGCTGTTGTGCCCTCCTCAAGAATCCTCTTCTCCAGGGTGGTTGCTGTTGTTTGGTCATTCCTGACTCTTCCTGGCCCCATCTGGGGTCTTCTTGGCAGAGACACTGGAGCGGGTTTGCCATTTCCTTCTCCAGCTCATTTGACAGTGGAGGAAACTGAGGCCAAGAGGGTGAAGTGACTCGCCCAGGGCCACACAGCTGGGAAGTGTCCGAGGTTGGATCTGAACTCAGGTCTTCCTGACTCCAGATCTGGCCCGTCTCTCCACTGTACCACCAAGCTGCTTCTCCAGGGTAAACAACCCTATTTCCCTCAAGGAGAACCTCATATGACCTGATTTCAAGGCCTTGCATGAAGAGAAGGGGGAATGGATCAAGAAGGGCTTCCTGCAGGAGATGGGCCTTGAACTTGGCTTTTAAAGAACTTCCTTTTGCTAGGCACCCCCCAGCCAAGCTGCATTGCCTGAGGGAGCACGAGAGGGAGTATCTGTAGGAGTCTGGGAATCTTTCTTTTTCCTTCCATGAGTTTCTAGTTGTAAGACTGCTGACCTGTGTGTGGAAAAGCTGTTGCCTTGCTCTGGGACTGCCTTGCTCAGCGCTAAGAAAAGAGGGTGCAACTTGCCTGGTTCCCCACCTAAGTCCCCCTCCCATACCTCCTGACAGGTTCTCCTCTCTCGGCCTACAGAAGCCCTCCGGGGGATGGATGGATGGGTTTCAAAGCAGTGATTTTCCAGGGGGTCTGCATGGGGCCCAGGCTAGCAGCAGACAAACCTTGGTTCCTCTGAAACAATAAATGCCTCAGGTCACCAGGCCACAAATCGAAAGAATTCGTTTTTAAAAAGCACGGTTCGTGTCAGGGTGGCTCCCCCAATCACTAGCTCCCCCGGTAAAGGAGGTCCGGGAGGTTGGAGCAAAGGAAGGCCCTACCTACGTGTTCTGACGGACAGGAAATAAGCTGACTTTTCCAGGCCAAGATCTGAGGGACCGAGCAGGCAGCTGAAAGAGGGGAGGCAGGAGGAGGGATGCTGAGGGGATACCGAGTCTCTGTGAAGCCGGCTCTTTGCTGACGGGCCAGTAAGGGATCAACCCATGAGGCTTGAGCCCCCTCACCCTTCTGTGATGGGCTCCCTGAGGAGGGAGAGTGGTCTTTGTGTTATTTCCAGACATTCTGATTCGTCTCCTTGGGGATTCACTGAAGCTTTATGCTGTCCCACCCCCAACCTGCCCTTCTCCTTCATCTGTAAAATGGGGACAACACTATCAGACTGTCCAGTAAAAAAGCATGGTGCAGAGGTTAGGGATTCGCACTATTGTTTGCAGCCCCCCTGGCCTTTGAGGGATAGGGAACCCCAGATTTGGCCCAAGATGGGGAGCAGCCCATGTGCAAGTGGGGGTAGCTATGGAAGCAGGTCTGCGGCCCTGGGCCTTGGCACAGCTTAGCCCAGAGCAGGAGGGTCAGCCCTGGGCTGGGGGGACAGAAGGAGAAAGTCCTGTCCTTGCTCCCTCCCCGTGGAGCAGGGGAGTCTTCGATGGAATGGGCAAGTCTGCCTGCCACAGCCAGGGCCCCAGAAGCTCCTGGCTGGCTCGCTGGCATCCCCCACCCCACCCCAGGGCCTGCAGCTTTCCGGGCCAGAGGCCAAGGGACAGCCAGTGTGGGGGTCCTCCGGGTGAGCCCAGACACCAGACAGCTACTTCAGGCCACAAAATACTGATAACGGAAGCCGACGTTTAAAGAGCACTTTAAAGTCTGTGAAGCACTTTTCACGCTAACTCAGGAATAGTCAGAGGAGGGGTGCTGCTGCCTGGCCCCACCCCCAGCGTGCCCACCCTCCTCCAACGTGAATTTCCTCCCCATCCCTCTGCCAGGTGCTGCTTTCCAGCCCAGCCAGGCTCCCCAGGTGTCTCCCGAGTGCCACCTGGTGGCTGCTAAGGGGAAGTCCCTGGATCATAGTCATCATCAGTGAGCCACCCCACCCCCACCCTGAGGGGCTGTCATCCCCTGGGTCTGATGAAGACACAGGCAGGCACCACAGACCCTGTCTGGTGCCTGGGTAGGCAGACAGGCCCCCAGGAGCCTCTGAGCTCTTCAACTAGGACAATGAACAACTCATTAGCTAGTAGATAGTGAACTGAATTTGGAGTCCCCCCAAGCTGGCTTCAAATTCTGAAGCAAATTCATTACCTGTGTGACCTTAAGCAAATTATTGTACTTTTCAGGGACATAGTTTCCTCTGCTGTCAAAGGAGGGGCCATGGAGATCAGACTATACAGGCAGTGTGGTCCAGTGAACACAGCACTGGGGGCGGAGTCCAGAAAACCTGGGTTTAAATCCTGCCTCAGACAGTGTTATCCAGATCAATCACAGCCCCTCAAGGCCTCAATTTTCTTACTCTAAGGTTCCTTCCAGCTCCAAAGAAAAATGCATACATTATGTTCTCTCCCTCTCCTGGTAACTCCAGGGCTCCCCGAGGAGGACAGAGGAAGGAAAGGCAGGGTTACTCAGAGAGCAGAGCTGGGAGACAGGACCGGCTTCTGAGGAAGGCATCATACCCAGCCATCTCCCAGGAGCCAATGCCCAGTCCTCACTCCCACACAGGACACACCCAGCCCTGCACGGGGACCTTTACACTGCGGTGTCTTGGGATGCAGGGGTGGGGGGCAGGAGGGGCTGGCAAGCAGCAGGAGCTCAGTCAATGATTACTGATTGGAGGGGATGGAGGAGCCTCAGTGGAGGCTGGGAGCCCTAACTCGCAGCTAAGATAATAAACCCAGCGGATGGATCTGCAGCTGAGGGAACCAGAGAACACTGAGGTTTCAAACTCGCCAAGGTTGGGCTGGATTCTAGCGGCCGCTCACTCCAGATTTCTTAACCTGCAGTCTGTGAAGTTGAAAATGGCCTGAGCTGGAGGACCTCATCAGTCAGGTGTGGCACAAACGATAGCTCACATTTCTTCAGTGCTGCCCTAGAGTGCACCAAGTGCTTGGACGGCATGAAGCCTAGTGCTTCTCACCATCATGCTCGCTGTCCAGCTGGGGAAATGGACCAAAAGGGCACAGTGGGCCCCATCTCCCTGAAGTGTCTGGCTCCAAGTCAACCCGCCAAGTACAGGCTGGCCTACCCGGCCCCGGGCATCCCGTCCAGCTCAGAGATTCTGTGATTCTGAGTTCACTCTTCCACTTGTCTGGGCCTCAGTGAAAGCACTTTGCAAAAACGGGGTGTGCCCTCACTGGCCACTCACCCTGGATTTGTTTCTGAGGACTGACCACCTCATATCATGGCCCAGCTGGCACCCACAGTGAAGGAGGGACGGCTGGGCGCAGTGACAGCTAAGGTCAGTTCCCAGTGCTCCTGGCCTATCACTTGACTTTTTATCTTTTACATCATAGTCCAGACATCAGCATGGGATAGAGAAATGACAGATAGATAGATAGATAGACAGACAGACAGACAGACAGACTGACTGACTGACTGACTGGACTCGGCATCCAAGAAGACTCAAGGACACCTGGGTCCAAGTCCTACCTGGGCCACATATCAGCTAAATTTCTGAACCTCTCAGTGGCCCAGGCCATAAGCTACAGAGAAGGAGCCCAGAGGCATACCGGAGGGCAGAGGTCACTCCTTGCAAATTCCCTGGACCAGGAAAATCGCAGGGCCAGGCCGGAATCTGGCCTCAGAACCGGCCCTGCCTGGGCCACATGCTGGCTGTTAGACCCTGGGCAAATCAACTTCCTGGAGCCCGGGCAGCTCGCTAAGAATCACTGTTATTCATTCATCCAGTTGCGTCTGAATTTTTGTGACCCCATGGACCATACTTAGCACACCAGGGCCTTCTATCCTCCACTATCCCTCAGTCTGTCCAAGCTCATGTCCATTGTATCCACCTCTTCCTCTGGTGTTCCCTTCTCCTTTTGCCTTTAATCCTTCCCAACATCAAGGTCTTTTCCAATGAGTCCTGTCTTCTCATTATGTGGCCAAAGTATTAAAGCTTCAGCTTCAGTAGCTGACCTTCCGGTGAACAGCCTGAATTAATTTCTTAAGCATTGACTGATTTGATGTCCTTGCTGTCCAAGGGACTCTCAAACATCTTCTCCAGCAACAGAATTCAAGAGAGTCACTTCCTCAGGTGCTTGGCTTTCCTGACAGTCCAACCACATTGCTACTGGAAAAACCACAGCTTTGACTAGATAGAGCTTTACCAGCAAGGTGACGGCTGTTTTTCAGTATGCTGTCCAGATAAGCCATAGCTTTCCTTCCAAGAAAAAAGCGTCTTTTAACGTCATGGCTGGAGTTACCATCTGCAGTGACCTTTGAGCCCAAGAATATAAAATCTGACACTGCTCCAATCGCTTCTCCCTCTATCTGCCAAGAAGTGATGGGGCCAGTTGCCATGATCTTAGTTTTGTTTTGGTTTTTTAATATTAGGTTTCCATTCAGCTTTTACACTCTCTTCTCACCCTCATGAAGAGGCTTCTTAATTCTTCACTTTCTGTCATTAGAGCACATATCTGACATTGCTGATAACTCTCCCAGCCACTATCATTCCAGCTTTTCATTCATCCAGCCTGGCATTTCCCAGGATGTACTCTGCCTATAAGTTAAATAAGGTGACAATATACTGCCTTGTGGTACTCTTTTTTGACTCTTAAACCAATCAGTTGTTCCATGTGTGGTTCTGACTACTGCTTTTTTGGCCCACATGCAGTTTCCTCAGGAGACAAGTAAGATGGCCTGGTCCTCCCAGCTCTTTGAGGCCTTGCCACATTTTGTTGTGATCCACACAGTCAAAGGCTTTAGTGTGGTCAATGAAGCAGAAGTAGAGGTTTTTCTGGAGCTCCCCTGCTTTCTCCACAGTCCAGTGAATGTTGGCAATTTGGTCTCTAGTTCCTCTGCTTCTTTGAAAAAACTAGCCTGCTCTTCTGGTAACTCTCGGTTCACATGCTGCTGAAGCCCAGCTTGCAGAACCTCAAGCATGACCTCGCTGGTGTGTGAAATGAGCACAACTGTCTGATAACTGGAACATTCCCTGGCATTGCCCTTCTTTAGGATTGGCATGTAAAGCGATCTCTTCTGATCCAGTGGCCACTGTTGAGTTTTCCAGATTTGCTGGCACACTGAGCGCAGCACTTCACCAGCATCATCTTGTAGGGTTTTAAATGGCTCGGCTGGAATTCCATCAGCTCCACTAGCCTTGTTGTTAGCACTGCTGCCTAAGGCCCACTTCACTCACTAAGAATTAGCAAACCCCTTCCTCCCCAGCTGCTCCTGACACTAATTTCATCACCATAACCCAAGTTCCAGACTGCTTTCTTGGGGAGACGCACTTACCCAGCCAGGGGACGACTGGCTCCTCTATAGCCTGCAAACTCAGGCAGGCCACAGAGAATGCCTAGCCTTTTCAGGAATCCTGCCTACTGGTCCCCCACAGATTCGAGGCTCCAACAAAGAAGAAACCCTGTGCCATTTCTGTAGTTATCATAGATTTCCAGCTGGCCAGGCCCTTGGCAGGCCACTGGGCCCAGCCTCCTCGTTTTACAAAGTGCGGAGCTGAGCCCCACACATGACTTGCTCAAGCTGACTCTGGATCTCAGAGCTGGAGACTTCAGAGCCCCTTGGGACTAATCCCCTCACTTTGCAGAGGGAGGAAACAGAGAGCAACAGCACTGGGATTGAAAACCAGGTCCTCTGACTCCAAACCCTGCGCTCCCTGAAGCAGCCAGCGGGATGGTAACCAGTCACATATCCTGGATTCTAGGCTGTAACTGCAAGCTGTGTTTATGACAAGTGAGGCAAGCCATTTAGAACCGGAAGAGCCCTGAGGAGTTTAGGTCTGGCCCCATTCCAGTTCTGGCGAGATATCTCCCGAACGGAAACTCAAACCCACTGGGTCCACATCATCCCCAGCTTCCCAATTCCTGGTCAGGGCTGCGCCACGCTCCCACTCACCCTAACTTTTACAGAACAGGAAACTGAGGCCCCAGGAGGTTAAGTCACCCAAGCACAGCGGCTGCGGTTACCAGGGATGCCCACAAGAAGGTCCTTTCCGCTCGTCTCTTACCCGGACGGTCACAACTGCCTCCCACGTGGCTTCCTCGCCTCTAACCATCCACCCCTCCCAAACCTTCCTTTACCCAGAAGCCAGACTGATTTCCCTAAAAATGAGGCCACTCCCTTGCTCAAGAAGCTTCAGTGGCTCCTCACTGCATTTGTGATTTAGCATCTTTCACAGTCTGGCTCCAACCTCTGCTCCTGGGCTGATTCATCATTACCACCCTCCTCCACTGCCTTCCAGCCACGGGGACCTAGCAGCTGTTTGTATGACACACCACATCTGGATTGCACTCCCCCCACATCCCCACCCTTTAGAATCTCTACCTTCTTTCGAGGAATAGCTCAAGTGCCACCTCCAAAACAAGGCCTTCCAAATTAAAAAAATACAAAAAATAAGGGGGCAGCTAGATGGTACAGTGAATAGAACTCTGGCCTTGAAGTCAGGAGGACCTGAGTTCAAATCCAGCCTCAGACATACAACACTCACTAGCTGTGTGACCCTGGACAAGTCACTTAACCCCAATCGCCTCACCAAAAAAGCAAAATATAAAAAAATTTTTTTTTGAATTTAACAAAAAATAATAAAATAAAAACAAGGCCTTCCCCAGTTCCCCCATTCCCAAAATTACTTTGTGCCTCTGAAGGTCCACCAAGCAGTCCACAAACATTTATTGAGTGTCTATAAGACATGTATGCAAGACCCGCAGCCCCTGCCCACAAGAAAGTGCTCTGTTTCAGTTGTACTTGCCAGATAAGAGATCCCTCCACAGCGGAATGCCCGGCTGGTGCTCACCCTGCCCTGTTCTTCCTCCCTTTCAGCTGGAGTTTGCGGTAGAGTTTGGAGAGCACAGAAGAATGGGCCTTGGTGGGCTTGGAGACCCCACGAGGGAAAGAACCTGGGAGGCGCAGGCTGTGACTGGCCTCTGCTGCTGGCCAAGCTCAGTGGAAGGGGCACGGCATACTCCCTGCCTGTCCAGGCTCCCCCTGTGTGTGGCACCATGAACACAGGCTTCAGGCCCTGGAAACCAAGGGTCTCCATGTTCCGTTCTGCCAGCTCACTGCCAGCATCCTGGAGCTCTTTACCCAAAGAAAGTCAGTCTCAGGTCCTCCCCGATGCAGGGAGGCCCAGGATGATGTGAGAGAGAATGGAGCTTGGAAACTCGGCTCTGTGAGCTGAGAAAGGCCTGCAGCGCCAGCCCTGTGGAAGGAGCAAACACGCAAAAGCAACTCTGGGCTCTTTAAAAACTCTATTTGGTACGGGCCATTTGACTGCTGGCGGATTTTAGTCAAAGATAGATATATATTTTAAAAAGTTTCTTTAACATTTAAATATATTTCAATATGAATGTCTCACAGAACAAAAAAAGTCAAGTCTTTCCATCACAAATACTGCAGCATTAAAATAAACACTTACCAAAATAAACAATATGAGTGATATACATATATATATACGTTCGTGGGTATAGTCTATCGAGTTAGTCATATTGTCGCTTTGAGTCACAAAAGCACAATATAAATACAGAATCTGATTGGAACTCCATTTCCCCTGTTGTAATAAAAATACATTCTTTACCACTGACAATAAAGCTAGTGCAAGTGTAGAGCAGGCGGCCCCCCGCCCCCGAGGGGCTGCTCACTTGGCTGGGACTTCGTACTTGAAAATGACGCTGAAGAGCCGGCCCCCCAGCCGGTCGGCCAGCCAGGAATTCTTGATGACGGCGAGCTTGAGGCTCTCGCAGCGCAGGGCCGCGTGGTAGTTGGTATGGATGGCGCGCCCCATGCCCTCAATGATCACCAGGTCTGTGCTGCGCTCCCGAACCAGCACTGCCAGTCCTTTGTCGAGACGGCTGCAAAGGAAGAAAGAAGCGTGGTGAGCTGGGGACCCGGCAGGGACCTGCGTGTGCCCATGACAAGCTGCTGCCATTCACCGGCACCGCGGAACTGACACGGACCTCCGTTCTTTCATCGTTATCAATCTGTACCAAACCTTAAATGTTCCCGTCAGCCTAGAGCAGGGCTGCTTAAACTTCTTCCTCGGCTGGCGTGTGGCCTGAGGGCGCGAGCAGCAGTAAAGTGCGCTGTGTGTTCAGAACCAAGGCTGCTGTGAGGCTGCACAATGCAACCCGGGCCAGCGCTGCCAGAAACACTTCAGGTTCATTACTTGTTTGATCTTTAATTAATCTTTGGTCGTCGCGCATTCAGAAACCTTTCACTGTTGCCAAATTTTGGGGTTTCAAGCCGCAGTTCAAGAAGCGCTGCTCTAGAGCACGTCACGCTTCCTTTGTTACCAACAGCATATCACTGGGAGGGCGGGGGACGGCGGTCCTCCTCTGTGACAGCATCACCATGGGCACCCCTCACATAGAAAAGCCTTGCACTGATGAAGGCTAGCACTTCATCTCTGTGTAGAGAGGTGAAGTCGCTTCAACTCATTAAGCATTTATTAAGCCTCTAGTGCACTGAGTGGTGCACCGGGGAAGCTAGGTGGCGCCACAGTGCACAGAGCACCGGGCCTGGAGTCTGGAAGACTCATCTTCCCGAGCTCAAATCCAGCCTCAGACACTGCCTAGCTGCATGACCCTTGGCAAGTCATTTCATCCTGTGTGCCTCAGTTTCCTTATCTGCCAGAATGACCCGGAGAAGGAAACGGCAAACCCCTCCAGTATCTTTGCCAAGAAAACCCCAAGGGGGGTCACGTCTGAACAACAACAACCAAAGACACGTTCCTGGAAGCGTGCTGGGTGCTGGGGATACAAAGCCAGCTTACACTGTCAGGAGGAGAGAGAACACAAAACAAAAGAAACACAAACGTTTTTATGGACAGGTTCTAAGAACCGGAGGGCACTGGCAAAGAGCGCCCCAGACGAGCTGGCCCTGGGGACCGGGGGGAGGAGAGGGATGCAGCTCTGACCCAGGCACAAGGGCGGAGTTGTGGGAGCCCGGTCACCGTCCCCCAGCCAGCGGGGGTCAGAAGCAGGACTTCAGCCCGGGCCTTTCGGACTCCCAGGCTGGCAGAACCACTTTCTGTTGGCAAATGGATGCTTCTAATTACAAAACTACTCTAAACCAAGAAGGGCTTCTTAAGGAACTCAGCTGGACAACCCTGTCACCCAGCAAAGGAACTGCCTCATCTTAAAATGAACCCATTTGGAATCCGGAACCTTACCAATTCCGACCAGCCTTCTCCAATGAGTGACGTTTTTCTGGATAACCCTGGCTCTGGATCACCAGGGGCCGCACTAACACACTTGTGTGGGACTCATTTATGCTCCCATCAAGAACATAATTGTTCGAATGACTGTGGTTACAGCTGATTACCATTCTTACTTAAGCTGGCAAATAAGGAGCTTTTCCCAAGGAAGTCTGTAGAAGAGATCCCAAACTTTTGGATGTCAGCAGGCATCTAGCTGAGGCCCACAGTGGGAAAGCATCCCCCCTACAACACACCTGACAAGTAGGCGGACGGTCTGCACTTGAAGACCTCCGGCGAAGGGAAGCTCACTACCTCCTAAGGAAGCCCACTGGCCAATGCGGACCAGGCCTTATTGCCACAAGGTCTTCCCGGGCTAACACGCCTCTTGGCATCTTTGGCCCACTGAGCACCCTGATGAGGGGGGCCGCTTGGTCACGCCTCCTTGCTTCCAATCCCAGGGACATAACACGTCTGGGTGGCAGAGGCTGAGGTGACCAACTAGCAAACTGCTGAGACACACCAGATGTTCAGGCATAACAGATCATGGTTACAAAACATTAACGCTCTTGAGTTACCAGTGGTTAGTGCCAGGGGCTCCCTTTCCTTTGAAGCAGAACAGCCCCAGCTGGGGACAAGGCTGACATCACCCTGCCTCTCTCAATCTCTCTTTTCCCTTCTTGTCACACACATGCCCCACTCTCAGGAAGAGGAGGAGGACCAGGTGATCAATAAGGGCCCTCCAGGCTCCTCCCCACCTCCATGCAGAGCCAGCCACAGCTCCTGGATTACCTTAGGTCTAAGCAGGGGGAACTGGAGCCCGTCTGTACCAAGAGCAGCTTGTCCTCTTTCAATGCAGATCTAGGAGACAGAACAGGCCCTTGAATACAAGGGGAGCAGCCACACAAGCCCCGCAGAGGGGCACAGCACACACACGTGCACACACACGAGCCCGGCGCCGCCCGCCCACACGCACGGGAGGCATGCTCCACGGCCGCCTGCGGGGGGCCCCGGCTGGACAAATCCTGCGGCTGCTGGGAGGCCACTCACTGTATGAGAGGGTCCATCGCTGCTATCCGCTCGGCCACAATGAGAGACTCGCTGTAGGTCACGTCGTTGAGGGCGGGTCCAGAATTACAGGCTAATATGACCTGGAGCAAACAGGGCCATGTCAGCACTGGAGCAGCCACCCGCACTGAGGGCAAGGTTAGTGGGGGCTTCTGCTCAGGCTTTGGAGAGTGATGGGGGTTCAGTTGTCTGGCATTCAAGGACAAGTCTAAGAGCAGACAACAGCCAGTGTCCTTAAGCAAACACAAAGTCTAAAACCAGGGAAAGAAAGGCTCGGGAGCTCTGTCTGCCCTGTGAGAGTCACTTTAACTTTAACTTGCTATGAAATAAAAAAGCCAACGTGATATCTAAGAACCCCAGTTTGATCTCGTCCAAATTACCTCCTCGACTTGGGGGCATGGGAAAATCTCACTGCCAAAAGTATGCCAAGATCTGGAGGGCCTCCACTCCCAGTTGGGCAGCCACTCGCTCTTTCCAGAACCCCCTGGTCACCTCACAATTTCGGCAGCTAGAATCCTGGCAGCAAGTGACACATGTCCTGCTCTGGCCAGAGAAAAGGGTCCCCAGTACTGGGCAGCACACACTCACCTCTGTTCCTCTAAAGAGTAGCTCCCTGACAAAGGGGAAGACTCCCAAAATGATGTCTATTCCACTGTTATCTGCGAAAATTAAGGCACATTTATGAGGGGGACCCTGCAAGACAAAACCAGGATGTTCAGTTTGGAAAAGGAGCTTCTAAGTTCAAAAACAATCATCGCAGAAGCAGAGAATGCCTGAGGCGGAAGGATCTTGGCAGCCTAATAGTCTGACCCATACAGGGCTCCTTCCCAATCTCGCACTCCAGAGGCCAGCCAGCTTCAGCCCACAAGCTTCTAGCAAGGGAGATCCGACTCAGGCCTTCCCAGGCAGTCCCTCCCCTCCCCACCTCCAGACAGGGCAGCCCCAATCATCAGGATCTTTCTGACCTCAGACCACAACTTGCCTGCCTGTCCCTTCCCCAGTCTTCCTGCCCCTGCCCTTGGAGGCCAAGCAGAGTGAGGCTTGTGCCTCCTGCCACATGACGGCCCCACCCCACCCCACCCCACCCCCGCCCAGGACTTGAGGATGGGTCACTCCTGAGGCTTCTTTTCTCTGGGTTAAATGACCCCAGTTCCCCCCAAGTGTTTTCTGATGGCACGGTCTCTAACACCAATTCTGCCATCACACGTCCCACCATCATTTCTGACTCTTCTGTGGGACTCAGACAAACATGGCCTCTGCATACCAGAGGCTAAGGCTAGAAGGGCAGAAGAAATAAGCATTTATTAAATCCCTACTATGTGCAAGCTAAGTGCTGGGGATGCAAAGAAGGGAAGTTTCTGCCATGGGAGAGAGCACGTGAGTCATTAGGCACACAGAGAAGTACAAAGTGGATGGAAGTCATCTGAAAGGGGGCAACAGCAGCTGAGGGGGCTGGCAAAGGCCTCCTGCAGAAGAGGAGATCAAACTGAACCTCGAAGGAATGAATGATCACTAGATTTCAAGCTTTTATTGGAGAATAAATTTTTTTTAAAAAAACCTACGTATGTACGTATGTGCACACACATGTGCATCTGTGCACTCACGCACACGTACTTCCCCTACCTCCCCCGCATGCACACAAAGCCCCCCAGGGAAGAGACAGCAGTATCTAACAGACACCCCCCCACCCTGATCAGCCGTTTCCTCCCTACCACACAGGAGCCCGGAACATAAGAATGGAAGAGGCCTTTCACAGACCCCCCTCGTGCCCAGTGTCTAGCACGGAATCACGGCCATCTTTTCCATGATGCCACACACTGCCTTCCTGTCCCTCCCCTTCCTCATCCCTTATCAATGAGAGTGACCCCCACCCCAAGGGCAGAGAAGCCTGGCTCCGTCTTGTGTCCATCCCAACAGCATCAGGCCGGCGCTCACTTGGACAGTCTGGACAGTCGTGACCACACACCTACCTTTAGCCGCTGCAGCCACTCTCCATAGGAGTCCACCAGCCAAGGGCGCTCTAAAGAAAAGACAGAAGACAGAGACCCATTGACAAGACCATCACAGCCACCCACAGAGCAACCACAGGTCAGGCAGGGGGGCTTGTGCATCTCCTCCAAGGAGGTTTATCTCTGTGACTTAGTACATTTTAATGAGGAAGAAGGGAAATTAAGCTGTGTAGAGGCTTTCCAGTTTACTAAAGACCTCCAGGCAGCTACAGCCATCAGTCAGTCAGTCAGAGAGCTATTCTAGGCAGTGCTGAAGGTTAGTCAGTGGGATATCCCATGAAGTGCTAGCCATCAGTCAATAGGTCAGCAGGCTATCCCAGGCAGTGCTGGCTGTCAGTCAGTGGGCTATCTCAGGCTTCTTGCCCCACTACTAGCTACGTGCCCTTGTCAGCCTAGGGCATCCATACCTTGTAATTTCTTCTTGGCTTCTTCAAATCCAAACTGCGGCTCAGATTCCAGAACACTGGACAAAGAAAAAAAGCTATGAATAAAAAGCCTGTCAGGTCGAGTTGCTCCACATGGAGAATAAGACTAAAACATAAGAGCTGAACCAGCAGAGCCTCATGAGGGCCCAGATTCTGGGCAGGGCGGCTGAGGAGCTAAGGGATGACAAAGCCCATCCCTGGGAGCTGCGCTGAAGGGTCCTGCTCCAGACAGATGTGGAGCTATGGGAGACAATGAAGTCTTTCTGTATTAACACGAGACTCCATATTCCAGGGTGCGGCAGCTGGCAGTTAAATGGCATGTCTCTAAGACCTGCACAATCCTCAATCACAGCCCATGACATGCAGAAGACATGCAGGTCATGCTGAGAACATGGAAAAACTGAATGGCCCAGCTGGCCCTCCTGTCCCCCTCCACTGATGGAGAAAGAGACTCCAAAAGTCAGTGAGAGGGTAAGGGCTTTAAAAGGGAAGAAAACACACCAACGTTGCTGGATTTTAGGTTTCTTTTAAACCCAATAATCGTTTCAAAAAAAGAAAGAAAAAAGTTATAAAGCTCAGATCACTCCCCAAAGCCTATTTAGAAGAGCATGGCAAGGCAGGGTCATTTCAAACCAACAGGAAATGTCATCAGCTTAAATCAGAGGCTTTACTCTAGCTTTGCACACACAGTGATGGAAAGAGTTGTAATTCAGTACAAATCTAAGTTGCTTTAACAATTAAAAAGGTGTCGTGGAATAAAGACATAAAATTATTATGACATATGCTAGACAGAAACTAGAAATAAGTGCATTTTACATGAGTTTCTCAGGATGAGAATAATCCTGGGGAACATTTTTAGAGTGCTTTTTTATTTTTCTTTTTTTGGCTAGGCAATGGGGTTAAGTGACTTGTCCGGGGTCACACAGCTAGTAAGTGTTATGTGTCTGAGGAGGGATTTGAACTCAGGTCATCCTGAATCCAGGACTGGTGCTCTATCCACTGTGCCACCTAGCTGCCCAACTAGAGTGCTTTTTTAAAAAAGAAAAGAAAATCACTCAAGGTGAGGGCTTTACCAGGGGAATAGATTTCATTCTTAATTGTTTTTTAAAGTGTGCCCCTCTCCAACATCACAAAGGATTTCATTCAACCTGTGGAGGCCTATGACTCAGTGGGTGGAGATGAAAAGTGAGTTTCCAGCTCAGGACAGCCAGGTGTCTGCTGAACTCCAAGTGTCTAACAGGTCAGGACAAAGTCTGAAAGCAACCCCTTAACCTACTCCAAGCCAGGCTGGCTGGCTCTCCACAGGGGCCACCCTGGCGCACCCGTGAGCAGGGATGCAGGCAGGCTTGTTTAAAGGATGGCCTTGGCCTCAACAACCATTCCAGACATAGAAGCAGCGGGAACGCATGGGGTGGGAGGGTAACGGTCACATTCACACCATTCAACTCAACTGGGGCTGGGATCTCCAGACGGGCAAGAAAAACCAAAATGGGGGGGGAGGGAAGGTGCTTAGAAACGGTGCCGTGAAACATTGAACACCTACTCTGAGACTGCTTTTGCTCCCCAGTCAAAGACATTCCCCGCAAGAAGTCCTTTCACCAGAGCAAACTGCCTCTCCTCCCAGCCTAATGAATCCAAAGATCTGATTACTCTTTGAAAACATTTTAACGCTATGCCATTTTCTCTCTGCTTTACCTGTAGAAAGATATGAGACATTGGATACACAGATGAAGAAATCGTCCTTACCCAGCAGCAGACCTTCAGTCCCCAAGACCACTTCCAAGCACTCAAGCATTCTCCGCTAGGTTCGTGGCCTCTACTGGCCCAACACGTCACCGTTAGCAGTACGGGCTCAGCACAGGCAAGGAAACAAACACAGCGACTGTTCTTTGGGGCCTCATCAAGCAATGGCCATGGCTGACCCCATTCTAAGCAAGGGATGCTGCCTAGGGGTGTCCTTCCCCTCCCTGACCACAACCAGGACACTGGTTAAGGGGAGGGATCAGGGGGGTGAAAATACCCACATCCAGACCGGCGTTTGTAAAATCAGAGATCTGAGCAGAAATAACATAAAAGCAGTAAGCCCAGGAGCCCGGGGTTTCTCATGGCCACTGGACTCCCCTGGGGATTGGGGGTGCGATGGGCAGGCCCCTGGAAGGATGGGTCAGCACGGCAGCACTGAAGGGGAGGGGACGGAGACAAGGCAGGCTGCAAAGTTCTCCTGACACACCCAGGCTGCTCTGCTCTTGACCAGAAAAGTCTGTTAGGGCCAGGCCTTTTCTCTCAGGCTGACTCGGGGGGTTGGGGGAGTCCCACCTGACCTGTTTCTCACAAGAGGGCCAAACCTGAGCCTCATGGGCAGGGGAAACTGCCACAGAAATCCAACATTCCTGGATTTACTATGGATGACTTTCCCCCAACCAAGAATACACTCCCCACTTATTCCATTTATTAATAAGAAGTGGAAAGAGTTCTAACAGCAGCTGCTATGATTAGTCATTATAAATGTGTAACTTTTAAAATACAGACAAACATACACTTTGGCATTCCAATGCCAAACACATGTTCCACTGGCAAAAATCATCCACAAACTAGGGGATGAGGAGAAGACTTCTGGATTCTGCCCAGCTCCCTGGACAGGGGCCAGGGGTACTCAGGGAATCCGACCTCGGCTTCTTTCTGCCCCAGGATGAAGGCCCAAAGACCTAGGGTTAGCACAGAGCCTTTTTAAAGGCACTGCCGGTCAACTGATCACCAGAGACGCAGCAGTTCTGTGACATACAGCACGCCTTCCTCCACTTCGCTTATTCCGGGGATCAGAAGGGGGTGCTTGGGTAACTCAATGTTCCCCAACAGAGCCAGAGGCCTCGTTTCACTCTAAGGATGTCTACTGAGCTCTAGCTAGCTCTCTCTCTCCTTTCTCTCTCCGCCCTCTTCCCTCCCCCCTACCTGGTCATCTTGGGTGTAAGAGTACCCCACACGATACCTCTATGTGATCTATGGGGGAAATCACCGTGGCGCCTTCAATCCACAGCCTTTCAGCAGACACTGCCAACAGAGAGGGCCGACTTAGTTTGGGGGGAAAGTACGGACACCCTCATGAGCAGCTGCTTAGTCACTGGGGCCAGTCACCAGAGAGCTAATATGTTCTTGTCACGGCTCAAAACCTGGTGGCAGACTAGATGGCCCCCTCGTCTCTCGCCCTTTCCCAGTCTTACAAGTGACCCAGCTCCCTTCATAATCCAAATCAGGCAAATTTGAGAAAACCGAGGCAGAAGCCTGCAGACTTACATTTCTGTCTACCCTGTAAGGAAAGCAGGACTTACTTTTGAATAGGGGTCTGGGAAGTTGAATTCATTCAAACAGTGCTCCCTTGTTTCTAACAGGCTCCTCACCGTCAAGGTTCCATAGGCACTAAGTGAAAGACAAGAGACATCGGTGAACATGAAGCCAATGTCGCTAGGCTGGGGCAGCCTGGGTTGGAGCCACTCTGACAGGAACAGTCTGTCTCAACCACCTTTATGTCCTACCGCCTGTACGCAGGGACCTTGGTGGAACTGTGGGGATTATTTAATGTGGATAAAAACAGACACTTATTTCAGGCAGAAACCAGACAGACAGCACGGTCTGAGGAGGTACAGCCACGGCGAGCACCAAGGGTGACCCCACCCCAGCCGCCAGAAGCTCAGGCTCAGGGCCTCCCAGAGCACCCCTGGCCTGACCGAAGAACACCTTGGAGGGCCCACTCCAGCCAGGCACGCTACGGGGATGCTTCCTCTTCTCCCAGCTGCCCTGATCAGCCCACTCCATGCAGTACTTAAGCCATGACCAGACCAACAGGGCCACTGTTCACTGCAGCTCCACTTTCCTGGCCCCCTCCTCTCTCTGTTGTCTCCCATATTGGAATGAAAGCTCATGAGCACAGGGGCTGCATTTCTTTCTATACTTATATTCCTTGGTGCATAATGCAGTGGCTGGCACGTAGCAGCTGGCATTTATATAGAACTCTAAAGTTTACCTCATTTGACCCATACAACAGGGTGTCTTCTACCCCCGTTTTACGGAAGAGAAAACTGAGGCAGGGAGCGTTTAGGTGGCTGGCTCAGGGTCACCTTACTGTGGCCTCATCTGAGCTCAGGCCTGGCTAACCCTAGGTCTGTGCACTGCGGCGCCCAGTGGCCTTGTGCTAGGGACTGAATAACAAAATGGCAACAACCGCCCTGGCGCCTCTTGTTTTAAAGGCGGTTGTGGACAAAGAGTCAGGAAACCTTGAAGGTCTGCTGAAATGGCTGCTATCATATGCTGAGTCACCATTAAAAAGCAGGAAGGAGATGGAGAGGGGAAGGGAGTCTAATAATTGTGTGATGCACCTTGAAAAAAAAGTATTTGTCAGTGACGTTCCATTTGCCAAGTGAGAGGATTCTCTATTCTAGAACGGCCAAGATCGGCTCTTTCTGTGGCCTGGGGTCACCACATCAATGGAGACCTGCCGACACCTAGGGCTGAGCAGCCCCCAGGGGTCAGCGAGCCAGGAAGGCACGGGAGGGCCTGGCATCTGGATGATGGGTCAGGAACTAGGGCAGGTGCGCAACAGGAAGGAACAGACTGTCCTCCTACTGCGATGCTGTGGGGGGAACGAGGCAGGGACTTACAATGGCTGATGTCTTAGCGTCTGAAGCTTATTCCAGTACTTCTGTCGGAATTTTTCTGCACGTTCAGCTGCATCAATGGAATCTGGCTGGCTGGCTATAGCCCGATTCACGACCTAGCAGAGACATAAAGTCATTTCAAAATGCAAGTGTGCTTGATGCCTGGACCCAAAGTAGCTGCTCCCATGAGGACTCCAAGTGGCAGTGGTGGCCAGAAATTCCCTTGAGAGGCAGGTGCCCCAAGGATGCCAAAAACACAAAGAAAGGCCCACGAACCCCAAACACTCAGAACAGCAACAGCAGAGAACCAGAGACCAAGCAGATGCACACTGGCCCGACCTGAATGCATCACTGCACCAAATTACTAGGAAATTACACAGGAAAAGGTGTATGAACGGACACCAAGTAAAGTAAGCAGAGTCAGGAAAACCATGATGCCAATGATGTAAACAGAAAGAGGGGCAACAAAATTCTGAATGAATACTGGGAAATCAGAATGGCCATTGGCCCCAAGAAGGACGATGGGTATGGAACAGAGAAGGCTGGGAATCACCTGGCCCAGGGGGGCTCTACCCATGGCCCTGAAAGAATTGGCAGGTGTGACTGCTGGGACCCCAAGAAGGACCACTGTACACAGACTGTGGACTATTACACAGGGTTAACAAAAGAATGCCAAGCCGGGGAGGAGGCCGGAGACCTCAGGTTTAGTCCTAGCCCAGGCACCATCCTGCCGAGTCTCCTCAGTTCCTTCTCCTCTCTGGGCCTCTGTAACCTCATCTGTAAAATGAAGGAATCGGACTCTGTGACTCCGTATGGTTCTATCAGGGTTCCTTTTTGTCAAAGGCATCATCTTATCAAGATGAGAGAATTAAGGCTGAATTGTCAGCCATTCTTGCAATGACTTATTTAAGACCAAGTTCAAATCCAACCTCAGACACTGAATAGCTGTGCTGGGCAAATTATTTAACCTCTGTCTGCTTCCTCAGTTCCTTCCCTAGTTCCTCAACTGGAAAACAGGACAATAACAACACCTCTCTTGAGGGGTTATTGTGAGGATCACATGGGATCACATTACTGGACTATATAAATGCTTATTCTTCCTGCCCCACCCCTGCCTTATTTAAAGTGATCTGCTTCTGACACAGGCTCTGTAAGCCTGGAGCCAATTCAGAGCAGAAGAAGCTCCTTCTGAATTCCTGCAGAACAGAAAGAGGAGGCCAAACCCAAGGCCTCCTTTGGGGCCATCTTGGACACACAGAGTACAGCTGAGGATTCCTACAGAATCAGCTCTTGCCACTACCAGAATGGCAACTCCTTGGGGCAGGGGCTGCGTGTCATTCTTTTTCCTTGGATCCCCAAACCCTAGCACAGAGCCTGGCACCCAGAAGTAGTTTAATCAATGTTCAGTGATTGCTTGGCTGACCCAACTCCCTACGTTCACACACCTTCACCAGCTCCCCAGTCTGACCCAAGGCCTGCCACTGGGAGACGCTAGCCAGCAGAAGGACAACCACCAAGGGGTGGGGAATAGTCAGTCCAACAGGGAGCTTGGTCTCCATCTTGGCTTTACTGACACACACTAACCAATGGAATCCACTTCCTTTTAAAAGTCTTTCCTCATCCAAGAGGTTGAAACCAGACTTTTTCAAGAAGCAGAATGTTTGCCAAGAAACACCACCATCTTGCTTCCACCTCCCCTACAATCCACTTTAAGTTCTATTATTCACCATGCCAGGAAGGCTATATGGCAAGAGCTCAAATCATCAGAAAAGTCCATTGCAAGGAAAGGACACTTTGAAAAACAAGAGAAACTACATACAGGCCCAAGGGACCCACTTTCTCAGTGTCAGTTTCTCCTCTCTCAACAAGCCATAGAGCTCAAAGGCATTTATTTAATATTTTCAATATTCGGAGCACTTACCCCATCAAGTGCTTCCTCAAAGCAGGTCAGCCAGTATTTCCGAGCCATGGCATCATCCGTGAGGTCAACTGTGTCAGGGATATAAGAAGATGGGTCTAGGAGGAGGGGCAGATCAACCAATGGCCTTTCTAATCGATCCATTTCCAACAAATCAAACTGGGGAAAGAAAGAAGAGGAGCCCCAAACAGGTCACTTAAGGTGTTTCAAAAGACCAAACCTTCCATTTAAAGTTTTTTTTTTAAAGATTTTTAAATTTTCTTTGAAAAGATGAATTTTATATCAGTTTTCCAATGAAGAGCTCAAAACAATTTATAGTCATATGAAAAAATGCTCCAAATCACTATTGATTAGAGAAATACAAGTTAAAACGACCCTGAGATATCATTTTACACCTATAAGACTGGCTAAAATGATTCAAGGAGAAAGCAACAGATGTTGGAGGGGATGGGAAAAAACTGGGACACTCATTCACTATTCGTGGAATTATGAACTGATCTATTTTGGAAAACAATCTGGAATTATGCCCAAAGAGTTATTAAACTGCCTATACCCTTCCTCCAGGAATGCCATTACTAGGTCTATTTCCAAAGATAATTAGGGGAAAAGGAAAAGAATCTGTATGTTCTGAAATACTTATAGCAGCTCTTTGTGGTGGCAAAGAATTGAGGGGATGCCCATCAACTGGGGAATGGCTAAATAAGTTGTGGTACATGATTGTGATGTAACACTATTGTGTTATAAGAAATGATAAGCTTGATGATCTTAGAAAAACACTAGTAGACTTGCACAAAACAATGAAGAGAAAGATGAGCAGAACCAAGAGAATGTTGTATATAGTAACAGCAATATTGTTTGAAGAATGACTCTGAAAACAACAAAAAAAAAAAGAATAATTTTGAAAGTGAGAGGGAATGAGTGAATCTAACTCTCATTGGATTCGGCTTAAGGAGGGAATAACATATACACTCAATTGGGTATAGAATTCTATCTTACCCTACAGGAAAATATGGGGGAAGGGGATAAGAGGGCAGGGGATGATAGATGGCAGGGCAGACTGGGGGAGGGGGTAATCAGAAGCAAACACTTTTGAGGAGGGACAAGGTCTAAGTAGAGAAGAGAGAAAACAGGGGGCAGGATAGAATGGAGGGAAATATAGTAAGTCTTTCACAACATAACTATTATGGAAGTGTTTTGCATGACTGCATGTGTATAACCTATATCAAATTGCTTGCCTTCTCAATGAGGGTGGGTGGGTAGGAAGGAAGGGAGAGAATTTAGAACCCAAAACTTTAAAAACAAATGTTAAAAATTTGCAATTGAGTAATAAGATATATAAGCAAAGGGGTATAGAAATCTATTCTGCCCTACAGGAAAATAGAAGGCGAAGGGGATGAGAGAAGGGTGGGGGTGGGGGGTAATAGAAGGGAGGGCAGATTGGGGGAAGGGGTATTCAGAATGCATGTTGTCTTGTGGTGTGGGGAGGGGAGAGATGGGGAGAAAATTTGGAACTCAAAATCTTGTGGAAGTGAATGCTGAAAACTAAAAATAAATCAATTTTTTAAAAAAAGAATGACTAAGAACGACTAAATCATTTTGACTATTGTAAATACCCCAATTAACTACAAAGGACCTATGAAGGAAGACACTATTTGCATCCAGAGAAAAAACTGATAAACAGAATTATGTATAGAATGATTTTACATAAACATATTATATAATTACAAAAAATACATAAATATATAAATATAAATAAGTGTGTCTAATGGTAGCCATCTCTAGGGTGGGGAGGGAGAAGGAAGAAAAAAAAAGGGGAAAAAAGTTACATGATAACTTTACTATATATTTAAAAGGAATAGCAAGTTGTACATAACAGATTTGCAGTTTCATGTGCAATCATGGTTTTTTCTATCCTATGATGTTATAAAAAAAATCCTTGGTTCTCCAAAGTTCAGAATTTTTATAAAAAGACTTGATGTACTTTGCATTATGTTTCTCCAAAGACTTTCTCCATATTGATGCCACCGAGCAAGAAATCTACTTGACATTTAGACTATAATGATTCCTCCCACTAAGATGCTTCACTGGAGAACAGAGGTGAGCCCAGGGCTCTGGATGGCTTTGCCAGCACAGCCAAGCCCCGGTTGGCTGCATTTGACACAAGCCCAGGAACAAACTGGGCCCTTTTTGCCCAAGGACCCAGCCCAACTAGATGTGAGCTGCCCAAGAGCTCAAGAAGCTCTTCTGCTGACATCCAGAACAAGGGATAATAAACCTGATTGTTTATCAGTATGATCACCATATTTCCCTCTCATTTTCCTTGGTAATCTTCTACATCTCATTTTCTGGTCCTGAGCAGGGTTCCCCAGGTATCCCCAGACTACCCACAGCCTGCAGAAAACATGTTAGAGCCCAGGGCTGGAAGGAGTCCTTCAGGCTGGCTTTCACAAGGTTGGGAAATCAACCAATCACCAACCTCTGAAATAATGAATTTAGCTCTTTAATCTAGTCAGTCCTGAGAATGCCATTTGACACCCAATAACTGCTTCTTTGTTAAGAAAGTTGGAGCACTATCACGTGCCATCTCAACAATTTCTAGGTTAATTCGGGTTGCATTTGGCTTCAACCACATTCTCATTTTGGCACGTGGGCTTGATGGGAAGGCCTTTATTTCACAGGTATGTTAACATTCAATTCACAACCTAAATTGCTATAACCATCCCTTTTCGGTTTTCAATGCATGGCGGTCACTTGTGCTAAGTTTCCTTGGCCACAAAAGCAATGTGGCATTTTGGATATTATTATTCAATAAGCTTGTGACAGCCCATGAAATTGGTGATTTCCACCATGACAGAGCTGTGAAATCAGCCATCTTGTCACTCATTAACACCCAATCCTAGCTGGGTGACACTGACTGAAGGTTCAAAAAAAGCACCGTCCCCTGTTGCTTGTTTGCTGCGGCCATCCTCCAGGTCTGCGAATGCACGCCTGGCAGCCGCCTGCCTACAGAGTCCAGTCCAGCCTGCGTCTGGGCGTGGCGGGAAGGCCTGGGGGCCTCAGCAAAAAACGGGCAGGGTGGAGATACTGGGAGAGAAAAGGTCACCCTGAAGGCTCTGAAACACAGGAGGGATGAAATGCGGGCAAATGAGCCCTATGGACAGAAATACTTCCCCAGCAGAATGCACTGGACCAAAAGCGAGAGAGAACTGGGTTCTAGCCACTAGTCTACTAAATGTGACAATGATGACAGACGACGATAACAACTAGACTTAATGAAGTGCTCTAAGGTCTGCAGAGCGCTTTACATGCATTATCTCATTTGATCCTCACAACAACTCCAGGATATAGGTACTACTCCCATTTTACAGTTGGGGAAACTAAGGTAGACAGAGGTGAAATTACTTGCCCAGGATCATTCAGCTAACGTCTGAGGTGGGATTTGAACTCAGATGTTCCTGGCTCCAAATGCAACCCACCTGGCCACTTAGCTGCCCATGACGTGATCCTGGACAAAGTGACTTCAATGGGCCTTCTTTTCATTACACAGAATGGAGAGGTTGGACTGGATAATCTCTAAGACTGCCTCAGTTCTAAAACTCAGTTATTTTAGGAAAGGCTGACGACTGGAAACTAAAAGGGAAATAAAAAACCCCACATGTCACATGCATCTTTCTTATGGCCTCACACCACCTCTGTTTCAAAAAAGTCTTCTGTTTACAGAGATTTATACTCAATCAACCTAAGGCCCCGAATTCGGATCCAGTGTGCCTAAGTCAGCTTGGGTGGGGTCTGAAAGGACAGACACTGTTAGGTCATTGGCAGCAGATCTAATACTTCTGAGGTCAACTGGACTTTGAAAACTAAGTCTCTGTAGGCTCTAAAGGTTAATGCTGGGGCTGTGGCTAAAACCTTCCAAGGTAAGCCATGTGGCTCAATGGTTATGCCAGACATTAATGTCGTCCCTCTGAGGAAAGCAAAGTAAGGCTGGGGATAGATAGAGTCAGACACTTCCTAGTGGTGACCTAGCTGTCTAGACAAGTCACTTCACTTCTGTCTGCCTCAGTTTCCTCCACTGTGAAATGGGGATAACAACAGCACCTGCCTCCCAGGGCTATTGTGAGGATCAAATGAGGTAATATTTGCCAAGAGTTCTGCAAACCTTGTACAGAAATGGGAATGGCGGGCAATGGGGCAAACACATTGGAGGGACCAGCCCTGTAATTGGTTTTTCAAGAAAACAAACTGGGGAGGCAGAGTCAAGATGGCAGACTGAGAGTCAGCATCTTTGCCTAGCTCTCCCAGCATACCTCCTCCACAACACTTAGAAGACACACCAGACTGAATGCTGATCAGGAAAATTGTGAAAAAATGTTAGCGAGTCCTTTGTTCAAGGACAGCTCAGGAAGACAGACAGAGGGCTCAGCAAGTGGACACCTGGGTGTGGGCTGGCCAAGAATGCAGCACAGGGCCCCAGAGCACTCCAGAGCTCAGGGACGGAAAAGGAACTGAGCCAGAGTAACAGACAGGCAGCACTGGGCAGAAAGAAGTGTCGTGGGATTGCTAAATAAGTTCCGGAAGCAGGAGCAGGGGCCGTCTGGCAGCCGGGTCACAGATCTGGGGCAAATAGCGATGGCAACCAATCCCAGAAGCCTAGCTGAGGACTGAGCAGAGAAAAAGCTCCAGAAACTTCACTGGGTGGCTCTAAGCCCTGGAGCACCGCAGTGACTCATTTCCAGCCATCAGCCACACATACAAGCCTGCAATGCAGTAACCAGGGCTGGCCACCAAAATGAAAGGGAAGCTAGCCATTCAGTCACTCTGACCCTGTAGAACATCCCAGAAGGCTAACAGTGAGTGACTGAGTCCGACTACAGCATACAGAAACTCAACTATGCCCAAACCAACAGACCTAAACCTGGGTCAGAGACACACAGAGCTCAGAGCAAGACAGTGAACAGACCTCTCTACAGATCATACCACTCTGGGGACAACAAAAAGTTGCAGCCCCCTCAAACTGAACTGAGAAAGCAGCAGCAGAATATCAAAGGACATATGCTCAGGTCAGAGGTGAGCAGAGCCCAATGTTAACAGGAAGTCCAAAGTCAAGAAGGAGACTAGCAAACAAACAAAAAAAGAACGTGACCTTAAAGGCTACTATGATGACAGGAAGCTCAAGAGACAAACTTACAAGACAATGACTTGAAAACATTTACAAGCAAAGCCTCAAATTGGACACGAGCCCAATTCCTAGGAGAGCTAAAGAAAGAAATTTTAAAAAACAGGGGAAAAAAGAATTTAAAAACAAAATAAGAGAGGTAGAGGGGAAAATCTGAAAAAGAAATGGGAGTAATGAAAGAAAATGATGAAAAGAGAATTAACAACTTCGTAAAAGAAACATAAAACTTCACTGAAGAAAATACTTCCTTAAAAATAAGAATTGGTCAAGTGGAAGCTAATGATTCCATGACACATCAGGAAACAATAAAACAAAGTCAAGACTGAAAAAATACAAGAAAATGTCAAATGTTTCACAGGAAAAATTACCTAGAAAACAGACCAAGGAGAGATAATTTAAGAATCACTGAACTACGTCACAGCTATGAACAAAAAAAGGGCTTTGACATCATATTTCAAGAAATTATAAAATTGTAATTATAAAACTGCCTAGATATCTTAGAACTAGAGGGCAAAATAGAAACTGAAAGAATCTACCAATTACCTCCCAAAAGAAACCTCAAAATTAAAACTCCCAGGAATAAGTGAAGCCAAAATCCAGAGCTTCCAGATCAAGAAGAAAATACTACAAGCAGCCAGAAAGAAAGAATTCAAGTACTGTGGACCGACAGTCAAGATCACACAAGATTTAGCAGCCATCACGATAAAGGAACAGGGATATTCTGGAAAGCAAAAGATCTAGGATTACAACTAAGATTAACCTACCCAGCAATAATGAGTATAATCTTACAGGGGGGAAATGGATATTTAGTAAAACAGAGAACCATTCCTTATGAAAAGATCAGAGCTGAATAGAAAATCTGACATTCAAATGCAAGATTCAAGAGAAGCATAAAAAGGTCAACATGAGTGAGAAATTATAAGGGACTAAAAAAGGTTAAAATGTTTACATTCTCATATGGGGAGATAATACATAACACCCCTAGCACTTATCATCACCAAGGGTTTTAGAGGAAGTCTAATTAGACAGAAGGCCTAGGTGTGATTCTAGTAAGATTGGATCAAAAGAAGAATAGAATGCAGAGATGGGAAAGGGAGTCGGGGAAAAGAACAAAAGAGAAGGCAGATTAAGGGAAGAAGTGGCCAGAAATAAAACACTCTTAAAGAGGGAATAAGGTGAAAAAGAGAAGGATAAGTATAAGACAAAAGAACAGAGGGAAATATACAGTTAGCAATCATAACTGTGAATGTAAATGGGATGAACTCACCCATAAAATAGAAGAGGATATCAGAATGGATTGGAAACAAGAATCTGTACATTGTTGACAAGAAATACACTTGAAACAGAAAGATACGGAGGTAAACTAAGGTGCTGAAGCAGAATCTATTATGCTTCAACTGAAGTAAAAAAGGCAGAGGTAGAAATCATGATCTTGGGGAAAGCAAAGCAAAAATTAGACCTAATTAAAAGAAATAAACAAGTAAACTACATTTTATTAAAAGATACTAGAGACAATAAATTAATATCAATGCAGAATACATATGCACCAAATGGTATAGCGTCTAATTTCTTAAATTAAAGTTAAATGAGTTACAAGTAGATAGCAAAGCTATAATAGTGGGGTACCACAATTTACACCTTTCATACCTAGATAAATATTACAATAAAATAAGCAAGAAAGAAGTTAAGGAGCTGAATAGAGTTTTAGAAACATTAGATAAGACAGACCTCTGGAGAATATTAAATGGGAATAATATCTATTCCTCAGCTATGCATGGCACCTTGCAAAAAAAAAAAACCTCAACATTTATTAAGGTATAAAAATTTTACAAACAAATGCTGAGAAGCAGACATTAAATGCATCTCTTTCTGAATATAATACAATAAAAATTGTGTTCAATAAAGGGTCTTAGAAACAGATTAAGATTAAAAATTAATTGCAAACTAAATAACATAATCCTAAAGAATGGGTGGGTCAAAAAACCCCAGAAATCATAGAAATTATCAATAATTTCATTAAAGATAATAATAATAACAACAACTTATGGGATGCAGCCAAAGTAGTATGTAGAGGAAAATTTATCTCTCTAAATGCTTATATCAATAAAAGAGGAAAAAAAGCTACTTAACAAATTAGCATGTAACTAACAAAATATGGAAACAAACAAATTAAAAACCCCCAATTAAACACCAAATTGGAAATCCTGAAAATCAAAAGTAAGATTAACAAAATTGAAAGTAAAAAAAATTTTTGAACTAACTAATAAAACTAGAAGCTGTTTTAAAAAACAGTAAAATACACAAGCCATTGGTTAACTTGATTTTTTAAAAGGAAGAAAATCAAATTACCAGTTCCAAACATAAAAAAGGTGAGTTCAGGACCAATGAAAATGACATAAAAGCAGCAGTTATTAAGAGCTACTCTTCCCAACTATATTCCAATGAAACTGATGATTTTTTTTTTGAGGGAGGGAGGCAATCAAGGTTAAGTGACTTGCCCAGGATCACACAGCAAGTAAGTGTCAAGTGACTGAGGCTTCTTTCTTTCCTAATTTTTTTTAGATATAGCCAATGCAGAAATGTTTTGCATGACCATACATAACTACACATGACTATACATAACCAGCATTCTATTTACTTCACCACCTAGTTGCTCCCGTATCCTGTTTAGGGGATGTCAAATTAGTCCATTTCTCTAGGGCTAGGCTAACTGTAAGAAAACGTGTTCTTAGTGTTAGAAAAATAAACAAGTTTTGTTTTTCTGGCCTTCTCAATGAATGGGAAAGGAAGAAAATTTCAAACTGAAAAAAAAATTTTTTTTAAATGTTCGAAATAAGGTTAGATGGCCAGGCTGATGTTTCCTCCCTCTCACCTACAGAGAAATCAATCAGTGCTAGAGAGAAGGTTTTATTAAACCTGAGAACCTGGGACTTCTGAGAGCACAGCAGCGGGCAGAGATGTGCTCAAAGCACTATGCACAGAGGTGTGCTATCAGGGCAGGAGACATGATGACAGGAGGTCAGGGTGTGGCTAACAGTCACTTGAGAAAATGGTGACAACCCCAAAGGAAAGCCAGCCCAAGAGCTCCTGCCAGGGCTGCTCCTGGTCGCCATTCCAAATACACGTCTTCCCCCCCCACCCCATACAGCATTTAACCTACTGAGGATGCAAATACTGTGATCCAAAACAGGGATGGGGAATGTTTTAAAACTGCCCCCAGCTGCTCTGTGCATGCTCATTCCCCCCAAGGCGACTGTCTCGGACTGATATCCTCTAGAGGGCACAGACCCTGGACCCCAAACGCCACCCCAAGGCCAAGAATGACAGAGACATAACTTATTTCTATGTCAGCTTGACTCACTCTGAGGACTGTCATGCTACAGCTAACTTCTGAGACAGATGAGGCAAAGTGCCTTAAAAATAGGGAGACTGAGATCATTTCAAAATATGTAATATACCCGACCTCCAAATGGGGGACCCACCACGGTAAAAGCCTGAAGAGGGAAGGAGACTGAAAATCCTATGCTGGCTTAACATTAATATCAAGAGAGACCGCATGGCCAGGATCATCGACCCCCTCACCCCATTTTAAAGATCAGGAGCTGAAGCCCAGAAAGAGGAAATAACCCGCTGAAGATCACACAGCCAGTGAGCATCAGGTTTCACGCCTCAGAGCCCCATCGCGCACACTGGTGCTGCCTCCCACTATGGCATCCCCCAAAGGACTCACAGTGCCACTCCGAGCTCTCTGCATGGGATACAGTTCTGGGGACGTGCTCATCAGACCAGAACTTCCAGCATAATTCTCTCCCCAGCTGTACTGGTTAGGATCTAGGAGAACAACAAAAGAAGGTGATGAGTCCTCAAACACAAGGGCTCCTAGAACATGCTACATATACAGGGAACACAGGACCAGCAGAAAGACTGAGCTTCGAGGGTCTAAACTCCAATCCTTTAAAGTATCTAAAAACATTCAAGGAGCAAAATTCTTGCTAAGAAAAGAAGGGAATGCACCCTGTCTTTGTTGTTGTTCAGTCGTTTTTCAGTCATGTCTAACTTCCTTCTGATGCCACTTGGGGTTTTTTGGCAAAGATACTGGCGTGGTTTGCTGTTTCCTTCTCCAGCTCTTTACAGAGGAGGAAACTGAGGCAAACAGGGTGAAGTGACTTGCCCAGGGTCACCCAGCTAGTAAGTGTCCAAGGCCAGATTTGAACTCAGGAAGATGATTTTTCTTGACTCTAAGCCCAGCATTCTATTTACTTCACCACCTAGTTGCTCCCGTATCCTGTTCAGGGGATGTCAAATTAGTCCATTTCTTTAGGGCTACGCTACCTGTAAGAAAACGTGTTCTTCGTGTTAGAAAAATAAACAAGGCCAGAGAAAACTTCCTGCTGTATTTAAATCAGGAAACTTACAGGGAAGACATTACAGGCTTATCTTTAAGCTCTGGGAACAATGACTCTTTCAATTTCTGGGAAAATAAGATACCCAATAGTGGAACTAAATTCTCTCTCCTTATTTTTTGTAAGGCAGGACACATTGCTGGCATCACATAAAATATATTTCTCATTTAAGAAGTAGTTTATATCTTTAGAAAAAAATTAGTCATTAGACACAGAGAATCAGGATGAAAGGTAATTGAGGGCCCAAGACTGGTGATGGGAAGAAGGAAAAGAGGCAGTTAGAATTTGAGATGTCTGTCATTCCTTTTCACCTTGGCTAATGGTTTCTTTTGCCAGGGAGGGGAGAGAATGACAGAGATAGAGAAGGAGGCGGAGGGGGAGAGAGAGAGAGGGAAGGGTAGAGAGAGAGAGAGAGAGAGAGGAGAGAGAGGGAATGAAGTCCTCTGCAATCACAAGGAAGCCAAACACGGGAACGGATCAGCCAAATTCTCATCCAGGCCCCTCTGGAGTGATCACAATCAAAGGTCCTGCTTTTCCCCTTCTCTAGAGGAAAGGATCGTTGGCATAGACAAGAAACAGATGGCCAAGTTCTACCAACTGCACTTAACTCAAAGAGTGGAAATGGGAAAGGATGAGGGTTTGGTTTTTTAAAACCCAACAAAACCACAACTGTTAACAGCCCAGCCATTCCTTGCTGGTGGCATCTCCTGCCCCTGGCCCACAACACCCAGGACAACCCTATGCTGCTCCCTAGGGCTTCATCAACACATGCCATCCCACTGTATCCACCAACATTCCCAAACACTGAATTAGGAAAAAAAGAGTAACCCTCTACTCACTGTCTTGTTCTGCTCCTTTTAGGAATGCCCCGATGGCGCCCAGGTAGCCTTCGTGCCTCAGGAACAATGCCTGAACCTCTCCCTGCCACAAGATGAAATATTGCATTGGGATGGTCCCTGATGGCCAGCCAGCATGGGCACTTTGTGCTCACTAGGTGGTTTAAGGCAATTACAATACACGTGGGTACCTCGCCTCACACAGTCAATGCATTCCTGAAAAGTTGTGCATAATAGACTTTTGTCAGCTGAAGAGCATTTGAACTGCAATAGGGAAGTTTGCTAGCTACAGAAATTCCAAGGTACATCTTTCTGCCAGGCAAAGGATCTGTCTGTAAAACGAATCATCAATCATCCTATGCATCTAATTTGGGAGCTCTTAATATACACAACTAGACTTGGCCTAAGGGGAAGTTCACCTGTCTAGGCTGACCAACACAGGGGGGCATTAGAAGACATTGAAATGGTCACAGAAGGGCAGCAACTCAAGGCGATACATGCTCATGCCACTTCCCAGATAGGGCACACCAACATCGAAGCCATCACCCACAGGAACCAAAGGGTCACTGCCCAAACCCCCAGTCATCCGCACTGGCAACTTCTCCACAGTGCGGGTTACAGGTACATGAGGAAGTATCCTCATTGTCTTTCTCCTGGAGGACTCTTGTGAGATGCAACAGACTGGAAAGAAGGGAACTGCAGGTAGCTCCCCAGCTCACAGGCTCCCTGAGGCTTCTCTAAACCAAGGCTACTCAATCACTCAGGGCTAAGGCTATCAGGTGAAGAATCCGACGGCCCCAACTTGTAGCTAATCTGCAGAGGCATCCTCCAGAGACCCTCAGTCTTACTCTGCTGTCTCAATATCTTTAGAAATACTCTTAACTCCCTGAGAACTGATTCTGGGTTAAGGGAAGGGAACAGGGCCAAGGTAAAGAACGAATCCCCAAATCCAGCGTGGTACCAGATAACACAGGGGGTTCGGTCTTCATTACCTTGGAGAAGAAGTTAATACTGTAAGTGATTGTGCGCATGGTGGCCGGATGGCCCCGAATGAAGAAGCCCCCAAAATAAACTTTGTCCAGGTTGTGGAGTTTGGCATAGAGACAAGCCAGCTGCCCGATGTCATTGCTAATCATGTGCAGTAAGCTCTTAGACATATCTTCCTTGGAGAACTCTAAGAGAGAGTAAAAACATCTTGGTGCGAGGTCAACAAAGGATATGTATGTGTGCTCTCAACTGTTTGGGGGGCAATGGACACTGTTTTCAGATGGAGGTAAGTACAGTCCTGCTCTAGGAGAGGCCATAACAGTAGTGGTCAGCACTAACCTTGAAAGACTTGCAGAGAGCATTTTATATACATCCTAACTTCCTAACAACGCTGTGGTGTAGGTGCTACTGGAATCCCTCTTTTACAAATGGGGAAACAGGCTCAGAGAGTTTCAATGACTTGTCCAGGGTCACCTAGGTAGGACCTGTCAAGAGGTGGGATTCAAAGCCAGCTCTCTCTGTCTCCCAGGTCAGCACTCCCACATCTCCAAATGCTTCCTGTTGTCCCACTTCCCCCAACAAAGCACAGGCACACATTAATCTGTTAATACAGGAACTAAAATTCTGACCACAAATGCCTCAGACCCAAGCAAGGTTAAACTCCACCATGAAAATAGTCATCGATTTAAGGAAGGAAACAGTTACGTGGGTTCACTCTAACAGGTTTCCATTTCCTCCTAGTAACTAAAGTAGAAATGCTGCAAGCAAAAATTTTTTTCTTTTTATAAATCAGAGCATTCTATAAGCAACAGATGGGAAGGAAATTGCCCCAGACATCTGTACATAATTCCCTGCTAACAATCTCGTGAATCATCACTCAGTTTGCTATAATCGGCGCAGACTCTGTCTCTGGATTTCTGGAAGATAAGAGCATCCAACGGGGGGTACCTTTATCTGCAGTGGCAGACTTTCCAAAGCTACTGGCTATAAGATTGCCACTGAGCCCCAGGGTCTGGTAGGCCCCACCATAAATATCTCCCACCAACATATCCACATTTGTGTGCTGGCCCTTTGAGGCAAGATGTAGCAGCTCATCAAATTTCTAGAAGGAAAAAACAGAGGAAATCAAGAGATCACCCAGATTTGGGGGGCCAAGGATAGCATGACGTGCAAGTCCACAGTGTGATGGCCAAGGCCTGTGAAGGCCCCACAAATCTGGCCTCACTTCCCGCCTCCCAGGAGGCTAACACCAACAAGGGTGGCCCAGCTCAATTAGTGACAATGGTGATAAACCTGTTTGAACCAACCACCTTTAACATCATTCTCAAGACAGCATGCAATAGTCCCCTCTCCAGAAAAGAACTAGAGGTTTGTAGGCACGGGTAAATAAGAAGGACCATAACCACAGCTACTGAGAAGGGCCTTTAGGATGGGGGAAAAAAAATCAAACCACAAGCTGTAGAGGTCTGACTTACAATATCCCTTTCCTTCAAGGAACTAGGCAGGACAAACCATAGCCCTACAAAGGACTTACCTTTGTCTTGGTAAGCAGGGCACCAAGCCCCCAGAAGGTGCCTCCTCCAATCGAGCTCCCACCAATCCACTCAAATTTGTCTTCCGTCTCCACCTGGCAGTCACAATCAGGGCAGTCTGGTTAGCACTGATGCTCAATATGACTCAGGTGATCAATAAGCGACTTATCCACAAGTGTACTGTGAGCAGGGGACTTCCTCCAAGAGGGCCCAGAGCTGGGGGCTGAGGGGCAGTGGCTCAGAGGGGCTCCTTCTCTAGTAATTATTCTGCTTTAGGAGGGAAAAGGCAGACCGCTAAAGAAGTGCCCCACCACCCTCACCCCTTCCCTGCTCTTCAGAGACAATGAATCTGGGTCTCAGAGCTAAGCAGGGGCTCAGTTTGGGCAAGACTCAAAGCCTCTATGCCACGTCGGCATAAAGAAGGCCACGACGTGGTGGAGAAATGAGGGCCTGGCTTCCCTTTGTACTACAAAGTTGGAACAGCCCTTTACATACAGCAGCTCATGTGAGCGCCACAACAACCCTGGAAAGCATGCAATAGTCTCTTCTCACTTTGTAGCTGATGAAGCAGAAGGGCCGTTCTGCTCGAGGTCACACAGCTGATGCAGTGGGGCCAAGAACAGCACCTCTAAATGAAGGCCCTCCACAGCAGTCAACAGCCTCTCCTTTGAACCCAAGGTCAGGATGCAGATGCAAAGGAGGATGACTGAACCATGAGTCCGCCCTCTCCCTGTGAGCCAGTGGTCTGCCTCCTGGGTCCCCCACTCACCTTCACTATGGAAACTCCAGAGCCAATGTTGACCAGGAGGTATGGGAAAATGTTAGGGTGGTTGGTCTGAAACCGGAATTCGGGATCAGCATCTTTCTGGTACATGAATGCCTCGTGGGGAATATTCTTTAGCACAAAATTACACCCTTTTATCAGGCAAGTCATCACATCTTCCTTATCAACTCTGAAAAGGAAATCAAGCACTGTTTCAAGAGGTTAGTCCCGTGCATGCGCGGGTATATGTGCATGTGCGTGTGCATATGTGTGTGTGTGTGTGTGACACAGAGATAGATAGAAGACAGAGGTAGGTGGACAGATGGGTAGACAGATAAATAATAGATAATGCTTAGACAGATAAATAGATGGCATATAGAGATAGATGGATGAGTAGATAGTAAATAAATATAAATAGTGAACAGAGAAACATAAACAGACAGATAGTAAATCTGTCTGAGACCTCAGATAGTATCAATAAGAAGTACCTGAGGCTTGGGGCATCATTCCTCATACCTCAGGACCACAACATGATTACATTAATAGTTAGTAAAAACAAAATAAAACAAGAAGTAAAGAAATAAAATAATCAAGCAAAGAAGAAAGAACTCAACCACAGATAGTAACTATGAGGATAGAGAAGATCTGGGTTCATATTCAGAGAAAGATAATGGAGCTAAAAAAGCCACTCCTTTTTCAATGAGAAATGTCAAATGGTCCTTAGTACAAAAAGAGTTCTTGGAAGAATTCAAAAAGGACCTTAAAAATCAAAAAAGAGACACAGAGGAAAAATTAGAAAAAAAAAATAAGAGCAATCCAAGAAAATCAAGAAAACTATGAAAATAAAGTCAACCAACTTGGAATAGAGAATCAAAAACTTAAGGAAGAAAATAATTCCTTGAAAACTACAACTGGGCAAGGGGAAGCCAATGACATTCTAAGACACCAAGAAATCATAAAACAAAATCAAAAGAATGAAAAAACAGAAGAGAAAGTGAAACATCTCATCAGAAAAACAATTGATTTGGAGAACAGATCAAGGAGAAATAATACAAGAATATTTGGACTACCTGAAAAATATGATTTTTTAAAAAAAGAATATTTTTAAAAAAAGAATGTTGATACAATATTACAAGAAATTATTAAGGAAAATTGCCCTTAAGTTCTAGAACAAGAAGGTAAAGCAGAAAAAGGAAAAAAAAATCCACCAATCACTCCCTGAAAGAGATCCCAGGAAGAAAACTTACAGGAATATCATAGCCAATTTTCAAAGCTCCCTGGTTAAGAAGAAAATATTGGAAGCAACGAGGGGAAAAAAAAATTTAATGTCATGGAGAGACAATAAAGATCATATAATAAATAAAGATTAAACAAGACCTAACAGTTACTACATCGAAGTCCTGGAATACTATATTCCTTAGAATGGGGGCCACCTCCCATTATCCTGATCTATATGTTGCCACTAGACTCAGATGGCTCGAGAGGAGGGAGGCTGGTAACTCTGCACAGCCCTCCTCACTTCCATCCAATTCACGTGCAAGTCACGGCATCACCTTCCTGATCATCATGGTCCTCTTCGATAAGGAAAGACAAACAACAACAACATAGAGCAAAAGAGCTGGGGTTACGAGCAAGAGCAACGTACTCAGCAAAATTAAGTATAATCCTGAATGAAAATAAAAAGGACATTTAACAAACTGAAAGACTTCCAGGTTTTTGTGGCAAAAACTCCAGAACTTAGAGGAAAATTCAACATATAATGTCCAGGAAAAATATAAAGTAAGCATTACAGACAAAATATAAGGGACTCAATAAGGTCAAATGGTTTCCTCCTCCTATGCGGAAACATTACCAGTTCTTTTACGACTGTCATTTCTATTTGGGTAGTTTGACAAAGAGGCCTGGGCTGAACTTAGCATGATGGAGAGATTCTTAAAAAAAATAAAACTCTGCAGGGAGAGCTAAAAAGGAGCAATTATCCCATACAAATGAGGCGTAAAAAGAAAAGCTGACACAAAAGGAGTTAATAGGTGGAGGACATGTAGTGCTGGAACCTTACTCTCTTCGGGAATGGCTTAAAGAGAGAACGATATGGATATCTAGAAGGGCATAAAAGTCTTCTAAATTCAGAAAGAAACAGGGGGCAAGGGAATAGGGTGGGGAGAGAGAATAAGGGAAGGACTTTAGAGGGGTGGGTAGGTTAAGGAATAGGAGAGCAAGGTAGTGGGTAGAAGTAAAGCAGAGGAGTGAGGAGAGATAGAGTAAATATGGTGAGAAGGATAGTGAGGAAAAATAGGAAGAAGGAAAATACACAAGTAACTGTATCTTAGAATGTGAATGGGATGAATTTACCCACAAAATGGAAATGAAGAGCAGATTAAAAATTTGAATTTGACAATACGTTGTTTTCAGGAAACATAAAAATGACAGTCACACAAAAAGATAAAATAAAGGACAGGAGTAGAATTTAGTATGTAAAAAAAGCAGGGAGAGTCATCATGATCTCAGACAAAGTTAAAGTTAAAATAAATTTAATCAAGTGAAAAACAGAGAAACTACACTATGTGTCAGTAATATTATTCAGTGTAGTTTAAGACCACTTAAAATACCCAGACAGTATAAAATACCTGAATGTATACCTAGCAAAACAGACACAGGAACTCTGTGAATAAACATAAAAAACTTTTTACACAAATAAACTCAGATCTAAATAAGTGAAGTAATATTTATTGTTCATTGGTAGGTAAAGACAACATAATTTTTAAATGACAATTTTACCTAACTAATCTATTTAGTCAATGTCATCCCAACTAAGTTATTAAACAATTATTTTACTAAGTCAGAAAATATAATAACAAAGTTCATTTGGAAGAGTAAAAGGTCAGGAACTTCAAAGAAACCAGGAAAAAAGATGTAAAGGAAGTAGATTCAACCATATCAGACCTCAAACTACAAGGCAGAGTATCGCTGAAGTGTAAAAAGGACAATTTCTATTATGTTAAACTGAAATTTTCTTGCATAAATAAAACCTATGTAGCCAAGAAGAGAAGGAATGCAGAAAATTGGAAAAAAACTTTCATAGACAATCTCTCAGATGGGATGTGATTAGGTTTGGAATATTGCTGTGATGTAGAAGATGATGAACTGGTTGATTGAGAAAAACATGGAAAGACATGGACCTATGAGGGAAGACGCTACCCACCTGCAGAGAAAGAGATGACAAGTGGAAATAAGCACATGACAGTGTTACATCGAGGTATACGAGTACACATGGTATATGGGTATATGTCTATAGAGTTCTGTGTACACGTATATGTGTGCGTAGCTGTCTTTAATGGGCACAACAGAGAACAAAGGGAAACAAAGCTGGGCAGCTGTGAAAACAGCATCCGGTATTTATCACACAGGTTTTCTTGAAATGGAAATATATTGTCTTATACTGAATCCTCTCCTATGATGTGCTGTGTACGTGGCAGTTATTTTTTTTTTTATTTTCTCATTTTGTATTTAAGTTTAAAATTTTTTTAATTACATTAAAAAAAAACCTCTCCCACATGCTTCAGCCAGGTCCTCGCTGGTGGGGCCAACATTCCCAGATCCCCACCACTCACCTAGCCGTGTTAAAGGGCAGAGGCAAAACACAATAACTATAGCTTTCGATCTGAAATGTAAGTGCTGCATTGACTATTTCTGTATTTCAATGACTCTGAGTTCACTGCTGTGGGCATTCCCTCCAATAATGTGGACTGCAGCCCATTCCTGCCCTCTTGTCCCCGGTGATTCTTATCCATGGACTCCTGTGGATTTACAATACAGGGACAACCCAAAATGCTGGAGAAAGCCTCCCCCTAAGCCTTTTTTATATTTAGTGGATATCGATTCAGAACATGGGCTCACCCTCTGTTACCACTCACTCTTGCGACAGGAAGGAATACGGTCCCAGCAACAGCCTGAATCTAGGGGCCAAGATCCTACCAAGCTATACATACAGAGACTCATCATCACCATATTGATCACTAGGTGATGACTTCTTTGGCTGTAGTAATTCAGAAAATTTAAAAAAAAATGGTCCTCTGTCCTGTGAGGTGCCCCCCCCCTTGCCATATCCACAGAGATGACGGTCCAGTGGTGAAAAATGCTTTTATCACTGCCATCCAAAAATATCGCCATGAGGCCACTGCCACAGGCTACCAGGTGATGCTCGGTCTTTCCCCCACTCTACAATTCTTACACTAGACGCAGTGCTTCTAAATGCACCCACTCCCCTTTGTTTTCCTGGGCCCCCATCAAAGACCCCCTGGTGAGCTCAGCAAATGAAAAAGGGCCTCCGAATTTATGCCCAGCTTCATCCTACGACCTCCTCCACTGTGTGACCCGAGAGATCTTTGAAGCAAGTTTGCTTCCCAGGTTCCTACTGTACCATCAGGGCGCCCAGGTTAAACAGCACAGGGTGCCAAGGCTGGCCCCTGCAGGACTGCCGAGATGTGCTCCGAGGAATGGCCCACTGACGGCATCAGCAGGAACTGACGACTGCTTCAAGTTTTCACACGGAGCTTACCTCGAGGCCTACCAGAATTTTCCTTCTTTTCAATTTTAAATAAAAACGCTTTAAACCTGTCCCCCAGTAAGAACAAATTCCTGGAGCCAAATTTTTGTCCCTCTCCAACTCATGTGCACTTACTTGAGTCGCAGCTTCTGCTCGATGAGGTCTTTGAATTTATATGCACCCCCTCCCGTGGCCTGGATCACCTTTGTTTCTGTATTAACAAGATGGTCTTTGATGAAGTCCAGACAGGTTTCAATGTACGTGTTCTCAAATTTAATAAAATGCAGCCGAGCAGTGATCTCCTCCTGCACGGAGATTTCATAGGGAGGCTCATGCTCCTGTTCGGCATCCTACAGAAAATACCAATGGCATTTTAGTAATCAAAAGCATGCAGATGAGGACTTCTGTATAGCCCTAGCCACACCTGATCTCATCTGTAAAATGGGGACAGTAACCACAGGTATCTGCCAGGTGTGCTGCATGGATCAAATGAGCTAACACACAGAAAGCATTTATAAATCTTACAGAGACATGGTCGATGCCAGCTGCTATTAACACGGAGACAATTATTATGTCACTGAAGTCTCTCAACAAGCCTGGGAAATAGGTATTTTTATTATCATTCCCACTTTACAGATGAAGAAACTGAAGCACAGATAAGTCAAGGGATCTGATCACAGTCACACAGCTAGTAAGCTTCTGGGGCAGGATTTGAACTCAGGTCTTCCTGCCTCTTCGCCGTGCAAGGGGATCTAAGGGATTCATTTCTTCCATGTTTTCTTTTTCTCTGCTAAGCTGCACACTGTTAAAGAGGCAAGAGCTTTTAAACCCACCTCCAAGCCTGAGGCAGGAAGTAGAAAGGGCTTGTGTCTAAAGGCAATCAGGCTGGATTAGAAACTAAAATACGGAAAGGAACACTCAGTCTAGGGAGAAGGGATGAAAAGAAGAGCAAGGGAGAGGCCCAACCTGAGCCCACTGGCTCATGTGGACTGAGAAGGAGCTGAGCTGGGACCCAGGGCAAGAGGGGGCAGTGCTCAGGATGTGGTCCTGGTGGCCCCCAGTATGGAATGCAGGCTCCAAGACATTGGAAAAGGCCATCCTCCTTCTGGGAAAGCAGGCCCTCTTCCTCTTGGCTTTAGAATCACTCTCTTTCGTCAGAGCTCCACCCTGACACCAAGCACCTCAGGGGCACATGCTGCCATTTTTTGTTCTTTAGCCCCAAATCTAGCAGACTGCCTTGCTCATAATGGACATTTAAGGAATTTCATAGAATGCCTTGCTTCTAATTCTTCCCCTAGAAACCCAAAGAAAGAGGCCCATGAACTATGGCTAGCTGGCATTCTGCATGGGCTGCGGGCTAGCGGTGGAAAAGCCCCAGCACTAGTACTGCTTTTCGAATGGGGTCTGAGGGACACTGTCGCGTCCAGCACAGCTCGAAGTCTTTACCTTTCCTGAGTGGTCAAAAGATCTCACTTTGGCTACTTTGTGCTGTACGGTTGAATAATAAGCCAATTTGGTTAATGATCCACCTGTGGATAAAAATATTAAAAACAATTCAGAACCAGGGCAGGAAACAATCTGTCTCAGCCATTCTCAGCATGGCCTTACTTTACTAACAAACTATTCTGTTGCAAATAAAAAATGTGTAGGCTGAGAGATGAGCACGCATGAGCACATTTTCTCCATTTCAATCTTCATACATATCTCAAGCCCTGCGACCAGGATGGCAGCAGGTGCTGCATGAACTCCCCAACTCCAAGATGCAGGCTCTGTGACTAGAGAAAGAGAAAAGTGGGCAGAAGGTGCCCATCCCACATCTACTTTCCATCCAGGACTCTAGAACATGTCACGTCTCCTGTCCCCTTGCTAATACAAGTCACTTAACTTAGATGACAGAGGATATCACTCCACTTCAGAGCTAAGGAAAACTGAGTCTCCAACTTAAACCCTGCTGATGACCTAGATTCTAGGGCCTAGAAGGAAAGAGCTGATAATGTCAATGTTTTCACTGAAAAGCTTTATAACTGACAAACCTCCTCAGTGACCTGGCCACCAGTGAAACCAATTTCCCAACATACACAGTTGAAGAAATGAGGTGGTTTTTAATGACTTCAAAAGAACTATTCACAGGGGCAGCTAGGTGGTGCAGTGTATAGAGCACCAGCCCTGAAGTCAAGAGGACCTCAGTTCAAATCCAGTCTCAGACCAAACACTTGACACTTACTAGCTGTGTAACCCTGGGCAAGTCACTTAACCCCAACTGCCTAAAAACAAAACAAAACAAAACAAAACAAAAAGAACTATTCACCCAAATGAAGGGTTTTAATATCATCCTTCAAGGGAAGAATGGAAACTCCATGAGGTTAGAGACTGTTTCATACACTGCCCTGTATCCCCAGCCCAGGGCACACAGGACGTATCATATCCAAAGTAGGATCTACATAAAAGGCTTGGGGACAGGTTAACTGACCCTAGAGCAAGTTAATACAAACCCAGAATAATCAAAAGCAATCAGATGATTGATTCCAAAGCTCCAATTCCCTACACTGACCAAAATAAGTCAACTTCCTTTCCAAATCCGAGTGCCCAGCAAATTCTGGCAGTTAATCTTGCAAACTAAGAGGAAGAAGGAGGCTATTCCTGAAATAAACAATGTGGAGATCAATAAGATTATCTGAGGAATCATCGGCTGCAAAGGGCAAAGAGTCAACGGCTTCTACTTTGAGACGATGTAGGGAGGGAGAAAGAGAAAAGGAGGAGAGGAAGGGAGAGAAAAAAGAGAGAGAGAGGGAGAGAGGAAAGACAGAGGGAGGGAGAGAGGGGGAGAGAGGGAGAGGGAGGGAGGGAGAGAGAGAGAGAGAGAGAGAGAGAGGAGAGAGAGAAGACAGAGAGAGAGAGAGAGAGAGAGAGAGAGTGTGCAAGGCTGAGCAGGTCCATGCAGGGACTCCTAGGCCTCAGGAATGATGGCAAACAACAAGAAAGGAAACCCCTTCTCAATATCCCCAAATGGGGCATGAAGCATGACACAGCAGAAGCTGGGAATGAAAGATGTACTAGATGACCCTGAAGGTTCTTCTCAGCTATGATTCTAGGAACTAAAACCAAAGCATTCCAAAATGACTTACAGAGAAACTTTTTTTTTGCCCAGGATATAGGTGGAAAAGAATGAAGACTCTCCAGAAGAGAAAGGGCTGGATCAGCCTGTCTAAAGCCCCCAGTAGTGGTTTTTGGGTGTTGCTCCCTCCCCCAACAAGGCGGCCCATTGCCCTCCGGCCCAGCTGTTCAGCAGAGGAGTCTGTCCTTTTATCAAGCCACAAAGTTCTGCTCTGTAATTCCAACCCACTGCTCTGAGTTCAGACCTTGGAAGCCAAAGTTAACCCCTCTCCCACGAAAATACTTCACAGGCTTAAAGTCAGTGATGGTGGAGACACTGACAATCATTGGAAATTATTTTAAAACTTCTGTTTTGCAAATGATTAAGTACTTAGAAAGCAAATGGAAAGGAACACATTAAAATCTGACACCAAACGATCTAGGATACATTAAAATACGCTCAGAAAGCTTGCATGCTCAGAATACTATTTAGTCTTCCTAACACACATCTCACACACACACACACACACACACACACACACACACACACACACACACACACGCTCATCTCCTCAAGTGTCTCCTAAGGGAATAGACATAGTCTTGGTACCTCCCCTCTTCCAGGCCTCAAATGATGCCAAATCTACGGGTTAATTAAAAGAATTTCTAAGAAGTGATCACCTCATGAGCCCTCCCATGCAGTGACACAAATTAAGAGCCCTCTTTAGAGATGAGCAAGCCAAAGCAGGTAAGAGACCTTTTCAGTGACTCATCGATCATGAAGAGAGCAGGCTTTCGATCCCACCCTTGGCTCTTGCTGTGATCCCCTGACACAGCACATGCTGGTTCCAACACTCACTGGTCCCAGAAGGCAAACTAGGGAAAGTCTGTCACCCTCAAGTGACAAGGACAATGGGGGGATTCTTCATACAATGAACAGAACAGCTCCGGACTGCTGCACCAGAAGAAATCTTCCCTATAAAATGGGCACTGAAAATCCCCAAAGAGGGCAGGCCTCTTTCAACTGCTGCTGCTGCTTTTTTTTTTTTTGATGGGCAATCAGGGTTAAATGACTTGCCCAGGATCACACAGCTAGCATCAAGTGTCTGAGGCTGGATTTGAACTCAGGTTCTCCTGACTCCAAGGCCAGAGTTTTATCCACTGTGCCCCCTAGCTGTCCCTGGACTGCTTCTTAATTCAGGGAGTGGGAGATGACTCACTGAACCTCAGAGCTGATCTCAGAGGTGGCAAGCATGAAATCCAACTCACAGCTGAACAGGAGTCTCTTGCCCAACACTTCCAGAAAGCAGAAGGCGGCACAAAGTGGGGTTCCCAGCACCCCCCCACACCTTCCCAAGGCCTCTACAGAGTCCAGCACGCTTGTGGATAGCTGCTAATTATGAAGACATTTGTCCTTACATCAAAGCCTTCTGGGCCCAGGCAGGAGAAACCTACCCTCCCTTCCACAGAACAGCCATCACACACCTCAAAGGAGCTCTCACCCCCTACCCCTGCCCCAATCTCCTCATTGCAGGCTAAATAAAGCCACTTCCTTCAGCCTGTCCTCCAATCCCCTGACCTCCCAGGTCCCCCTGGACGCGGACACACTCCACGTCAATGTCATCGGGAGGAGGTTTCCTTTTCTATGATAGTGCTTTCAGTGGAGGAAGGCTGTTATCACAGGCACCGGGTGATATGACACTCCTTAAAAAGGATGACAGGAGAAAAGCCCTTCCAGGACTGGGTGTCAGGAAGAGGGACAGCGAATGAGTATTTATTGAGCACCTACTATGTGCCACGTATGCGCTAAGTGCTTTACAAATATCCCATTTGAACCCTACAACAACCCTGGGAGGTAGCTGCTAATATTGTCTCCCTTTTACAGGTGAGGAAACTGAGGCAGACTGAGGTAAAATGAGTTGTCCAGGGTCACACAGCTAGTAAGCGGTTGAGGTCACATCTGAACTCAGATCTTCTTTGACACCAGACCCAGTGCTCTACACACTGGACCACCCAGCTGCCTGCCTCTAGGGGGTACCCTTTTACTAGACAGGATTATCTCATGATATCATGGCTCATATGCGATGTAGAAAGGAAAAGCACTCTCTCCCAGTTTGGTGGGCATGTTTTGTACCAAATGTTCCTTACTATGTCATAGTATATAAAAATGAACACAGTACTCCAGATGTGACCTGACCAGTTCTGAGCACTGGAGCCATCCAAGTCTGGCTGGGGATCAGCCCTTGAGTACAAAAGTCAGGTGAGACAAAGAGGATCCCCAGGGATCCAATCTGCCCTCGATTCACGAGTCCTGGATACTCCTTAGCGTAATTCCCCCAGTCCCTGTGGATGAAGGTAGGGATAACTCTGGTATTAACACCATAGGCATGGTTACGACCTATATATCTAGGGCCAGGCACCCCAGGGGACCAGCTTCTCGGACTGGGGAGAAAGAAACCCACTTTGCCTTGATCTATCTCTTGCCCAATTTTGCCTGGGTATGTCTGCCCACTGTCTACAAAGACAGAAAGAAGGGAGGGAGGAAGAAAGCCCAATACAAACCACCCATACACCACTGATTACTTTCTTAGCACATTTAGATGATTGAGGGAAGCCACATGAGGAAGGTCACCCATCAGGAAACCTTGCTTTCAAATCCTTTGTCTTACTTTTGAGCCAGGCCAGTGCTGTGATAAACAGACTGTCCTGACTTATCTTTCTCTCTTTCCAAGAAGGTGAATCAACTCAGCTGGCCTCAGTCTGAGAAAGTTAAAAAGTCCTGCCAAGAACTTTAGAGCTGCTCACTCACGGTGCCTAGAAGTTTTTGTTTTTTGACCCCATCAAAAAAGCCTGGTACAGGAGAATGGTGGAAACAAATCTGTATGAGATCCTAACCAGTGCTGGCAATCTCGTCGGCTGTGCTGGTCCCCAGGATTCTCAAGTCCTGGCTCTGAGCTCTTAACTTACACAGGGGCTCCTTTAAGACCTACAATCACTTGTTCCTGGCCACAAGCTCAAGAGCAACACACAGAAGGAGGAGGGAGGCCTTTTTTTTTCCAAGGAGACAAAATAAAAACCAGAAGTAAAAATACACCCTCGGAGTGTATCTTATTTGAAAACCCCGTACTTCAACTCTGATATTAAGGGAAAGCCCTAATTCCGACTGGTGCCCTCAGAGGCTTCTCAGCTACTCTGTCGTTAATCACTTGAAGGTCCCGAATTTAAGACCTTTGGCCTCTGAAGGCAGAAATCAGATGATCTGCTTCTCCAAAGGGCAGTCAGCCAACAAGCATTTATTAAGAACCTACTGTGTGTCAGGCACTGGGCTAAGCCCTGGGGCTACACAGAAAGGCCTTCAGGAGACTGCAGAGAGTGGAAAGTCCTCTGGGCTGCGAGTCAGAAAACCTGGCTTAGAGTCGCAGCTCTCCACGGGCTT